GGCTCATGAGAGCCTGAAAAAGTAATTAGACTTTCACAAAAAATGTAAAAAAAAAAAACGTTTCAAGGGCAAAACTCATCTGCCTCGGTCATGGAGTCAATTGACTATTTTTATCATTTGAATTATTTGTAGACCCTACAGTTGAACATTTTTGATATTGACCCTTTCTCTCTATCTATTATAATATTACAGTAACCCTATAATGGGTGGTCCAATTGGTCTGAAAATGTCATATTTGATAGATTTTGACTTATTCATCACTTTAACTCCATGTCACTTTTGCTCTAACTGATATAGTTTTTGAGATAAAAGCCAAAAACTTCATTTGACCCCTATGTTCTATTTTTAGCCATGGCGGCCATGTTTTTAATAGATAAAAAATTCGGATACAATTTATAAACCAGTTACTCTAAGGAATATTCAGTGAAAGTTTGGAAGATTTGGCCCAGTAGTTTCAGGGAAGAAGATTTTTGAAAAAGTAAGACTTGCACGAAAAAATGTAAAAAAAAAAAAAAAAAATTTCAAGGGCAAAAACTCCTTAAGGAGTCAATTGAATATTTTGATCATTTGACTTATTTGTAGATCCTACTTAGCTGAACATTTTTGCTATTTACCCTTTCTCTCTATCTATTATAATATTAAAGATAATAACCAAAAACAGTAAAATTTCATAAAAATAAACCATTTCGGACAATAACCCTACCCTACAATGGGTGGTCCAATTGGTCTGAAAATGTCACAGCAGATAGATTTTGACTTATTCATCACTTTTAAATTAACTCCATGCCACTTTTGCTCTAACTGATATAGTTTTTGAGATAAAAGACAAAAACTGCATTTGACCCCTATGGTCTATTTTTAGCCATGGCGGCCATGTTTGTTAATGGATCAAAACTTCTGATACAATTTATAAACCAGTTACCCTAAGGAACATTCAGTTAAAGTTTAGAAGTATTAGGCCCAGTAGTTTCAGAGGAGAAGATTTTTTAATGTTAGCAATTTTTTGGGGCCCTTTATAGCTTGCTGTTCGGTGTGAGCCAATGCTCCGTGTTGAAGGCCGTACCTTGACCTATAATGGTTTACTTTTATAAATTGTAACTTGGATGGAGAGTTGTCTCATTGGCACTCATACCACATCTTCCTATATCTATATGATGAACAAATTGTGTAAAATTGTCTTTAAAGGGCAATAACTCCTTAAGGGGTCAATTGACAATTTTGGTCATATTAATTTTTTGTAGATCTTACTTTGCTGAACATTTTTGCTGTTTACAGTTTATCTTTATCTTCAATAATATTCAAGATAATAACCAAAACCTGCAAAATTTCCTTAAAATCACCAATTTAGTGGCAGCAACCCAAAAATGGGTTATTCGGTTCGTCTGAAAATTTCAGGGCTGATAGATCCTGATCTATAAATCATTTTTCCCCATGTCAGATTTGCTCTAAATGCTCTAGTTTTTGAGATATAAGCCAAAAACTGCATTTGACACCTATGTTCTATTTTTAGCCATGGCGGCCATGTTGTCGATGGATCAAAACTTTGGATACAATTTATAAACTAGATACCCTAAGGAACATTCAGTTAAAGTTTGAAGGTACTTGGCCAGGTAGTTTCAGAGGAGAAGATTCTTGAAATAGTTTATGACGACGACGACAGACGACGACAGACGCCAAGTGATTGCATAAGCTTACATGGGGCCCAAGGGCCCAGTGAGCTAAAAATGAATTGGTATTCACTTGGGGGCTGTTTGCTAGGTGTCACTTAGGGGTGGGGCTGTGTTTACATTCTAACCAAGTCGTACGAAAAATACTCTTGTCTAGATTTTTTTACTTTTTTTGAAACCCGTACTTGTTACGTAGGCACCTTACAAAGGTTCATTCTCTCTGTTTAACCAACTGCAAGCCCACACCCTTGTTATGTCTCCTTCCCTTGTTTTCATGATTAGTATACGACTCTTACGAAACTTACCATCTTCTTCGTTCACTTATTTAATTTTAAACCACACCCCAGTTGGAAGGTTTTTCCATTTTAACGTTTCTTCATTTTGTTCCTGTACCTTTTTTTCCAATGCATTAATACTCATAAAGTAATTTTCAAAAGAAGCCATCGTAATATAATTACTCATAACCCATGTCTTTATGGTGTTTGTTTTTCAATTTTGTAAAGTGTTACATAATCCAACTTTCAAAATTCAACTCTTACTCCTATTTGAATTTTAACCCTAACCCAACTTTGAAAATTCATCTCTTACTCCTATTTGAATTTTAACCCTAACCCCTAACTCAACTTTTAAAATTCATCTCTTACTCCAATTTGAATTCTTAAATTTAAAAAATTTTTAAATTAGAAATTTTTTTAAATTTGGAAGTGCGGTAGAATCCCCCTATTGTAACTACTTTCCGTACACCAAATATAGTTGACCTATTGCTTATAGTATCTGTGGCTTGACCACCAAACTTTAACCTTGATCACTGATCCATGAAATGAGGTCCAGGTCAGGTGAACCCTGTCTGATGGACATGTAAACATTGCAAGAAACCCATATACCAAATATAGTTATCCTATTACTCATAATAAGTGAGCAATTCACAAGACAAAAAAAACTCTGTTTTTTCAAGCATGTTGCTGAACCATTAAAATGAGGTCAAGGACAATGGACATATACCAGATGGGAACCTCGTAAAAAAGGGTATCTGCTAACAAGGAATGAAGCATCCAGGTCTTCTCACTTCTGAAATATAAAACTTTATACAAATAGTTTACGCCGTCGCCGCCGGATTGTTATCGCTATGTCTCACATTCTGCGACTTGCGTCGCAGGCGAGACAAAAAAATCAGGGTAATAGTTTATTAACATTTATACAAAAATCCAGCAAACAATCCATTAAAGTACTTTTGTCAGAAATCGAGCCTGATTGACTTGGGAAACACAAACTTAATACTAGATACCCTAAGAATCATTCATACAAAGTTTGGCTGAAATTGGTTCAGTAGTTTCAGAGAAGATCTTTGAAAAAGTTAACGACGACGATGACGTTGGGCCAGGTGAGCTTAAAATCTTAGGATGACATTTGATCATAGGTTACTCTAACCTGAATAATTCAGTCCCTCCCCGTGATCAACTCTCCCAGTCGCGAGGGCCTAAACTCCTCGTACGATAAAACCCGTCTCGAATCAAGGATTTTGATTGGTGCTCGTAGGGTGAGAGAGCCAATCAGCTGAAACGCTTAATTTAATTTCGAATGATTAATTGACGATTTTCCATTTACAAGGCTTTCAGGCGTTAATGTATCCATCCATCGTAGAGCAGTGGAATAAAACGACTAAATTACATGTATTAGGGTTAACGGTACTTATAACGAAGTCAGTAAATAAATAAATAAAATTTATTATGTACTAGTAATTATAAAGTCATGAATGTTTCTCAAGTTCAAATGTTCGAATGTTCACAAATTGTATCTAAAGTTAAATTGTACGAAAGTTCAATAAATCGTCACACGGACACGTAATCGTATAGTGGTATAATTGTTCAATCCTGACTGAGTAAATTCGGATAGTAAGTAAATTACTTCCAGCCTACCCACGAGGGGGAGACCTGGCGGAATCTCCTGTTCTAGTCCAAAGGTGGATCTTATATAGTTCAGAGGGGTCATCAATCAGCGTTCAACAATATCTCATAACTGTCGGCAGTTTATAGAATAGTCTAGCTATTAAATAATACATGTACTAGGTTAGGCAGTGGACAATGCTATTAACGTCTGCACAATGCAATTAACGTCTGCAGAATACATGTACTATGAAAGTTGTTGACATTGTTAGTAATTGTCTGCAGGATACATGTACTTGTATCAATTAGGTTAGGCTGGAATACACCTTAGAAAATACTGTTCTCTCACAAATTGTGTTACATACTCTAACATGTTCAACTCATACGAATATTAGAAATCTTTGTTGTCGACAGCCAGTGATACACACGATAAAGTTTAAATACCAGGTGTGCTTATCCACGCTGTCATGAACCTCATTCTAAACAAGGAGTGGGGAAGAACATGATGTCTTCTCAACCCTCCAATCAACATAAAAAACTTCTAGAAAAGGCCAATCAAATCCAGCAAACAATCGATTACTAGTACTTTTGTCAGTAATAGTGCTAATCCCTGTTTTAGATATAAAAGATATAAGATCATTAAAGCATTTTACCCTTATGTGCCTATTTTTAGCAATGACGGCAAGGTTTGTTGACTGACTGGGGAAAAACACAAACTTTATACTAGATACCCTAAGAATCATGTTTGGCTGAAAATGGTTCAGTAGTTTCAGAGGAGAAGATCTTTGAAAAAGTTTACGACGACGACTTTCGGACAGGTGAGCTAATTATCTTAGGATGAAATTTGATCATAGGTTACTCTAACCCGAATAATTCAGTCCCTCCCCGTGATCGACTCTCCCACTCGCGAGAGCCTGAACTCTTTATACGATAAAACGCGTCGCGAATCAAGGATTTTGTTTGGTGCTCGTAGGGTGAGAGAACCAATCAGCTGAAACGCTTAATGTTATCAGATACTTAAATCCAGATTTAATTCCGAATGATTAATTGACGATTTTCCATTTCCAAGGCGTTCAGGCGTTAATGTAGCCATCGTAGAGCAGTGGAATATAACGACTAAATTATTATGGTTAAGGGTAACTCTAACATGTTCAACTCATACGAATATAAATATTTCTTGTCGACAGTCAGTGATACACACGACAAGGTTTAAATACCAGGTGTCCTTATCCACGCTGTTATGAACCTAATTCTAAACAAGGAGTGGGGAAGAACATGGTGTCTTCTCAACACTCCAATAAACATAAATACTTCTAGAAAAGGCCAATAATAAGTTTTATTTTCACACATTTTAACTTTTACACCTTTTAGGAATGATTATAGACAGAAAACAGCATGATGCATGTTCCATTACAGGACTGAACATTTTGGCCTCATAAAAACTGAAAACAACAAATCATACATTTTATTCATCAACAATAAAAACAAATATGCATAAAAGCTTAACACAATAAACTGCTTCGCCGAGCGCAGCTGGATACGACAGCAGAGGTCCAACCCTGAACAGATGGGGCAAAAATGGACACAATATTCAAGCTTGATACAGGTCTGAATTTTGATTGTAATTAAATATTTGACACATTATAGGTTTCTGACACAGAATAAATGTAGTCAAAGAACTTGAAATTGGTTTTATGATTTGAATTTATATTCAATTAAAGATTTCTTGATGTTGTGCAATACACTGTGCTGTTGCGCAATACTTAGTAAATGTTTTCAGGCTATATACAAAGAATTAGCAAAATAAATTGTGACCCCCCAATTTTTCTTAGAAAAATTGACAATTTCTTAAATCTTGAGGGGGAAAAAAATTGACCCCCCCCCAAAAAAAAAACATTTTTATACCTCCCCCCCCCCTTTTTTTCCAAAAAATAATAATAATTGATGAAATTTTCATTTTAATTTCTTAAATCTTGTAAAAAAATTGCCGCCCCCCCAAAAAAAATCTTGTTTGATACCCTTTTTGGCACCCTAATTCATGAACGGTTTGAGCAATTACCCCCAAAATGAATCCCAACCTTTTACTTGTGGTATTGAACCTTGTGGTACAATTTCAGAGCAATCAAAATACTTATTGTCCTGAAACTAGAAAAATGCTTTTTTTGGGCCCTTTTTCCTAAACGGCTGGGACCATCACCCCCAAAAACTATCCTAACCTTTCTTTTTTGGTATTGAACCTTCGGTTAAATTTCATAGAGATCCATACACTTAAACTAAAGTTATTGTCCGGAAACCAAATGTCTTCGGACGACGACGACGACGCCGACGACGTGATAGCAATATACGACCGCGAAAAAAAATTTGCGGTCGTATAAAAATGATAATAATTTGTTAAATCTACAACTAAACAAAAAAAATGTTAGCAAATAATTTTCCACCAAATGTTCTGTAAAATCCAATGGAAATGAATGGAAAAATTGATTTTTACCAACTGACATCTAAATATATGAAGGTAATACTGTTTTTCTTTTCAAAACACAATCTAATCTCCATTACTTACTAAATATGTTACAATTAACATTTGTTTTTGGTCAGATTATTTATACGTTAAAAGAAAAAAAATCGTACACGCGGAACTCTGTGTCTCGCCTTCGATTGCTGCTACCGGTGTTAAAGTGTAATCCATTAATCAGTAAAATACAGAATTGAAATAAAAATATCAAAGTTTTTCTTTAGTTGCTATTTCTTGATCTTAAAGATTAGCGTCTGTCCAAGCTTCATAACAATCCATGAAGGTTTACAAATTTATCGTGTCAAAAATTATTTTTAAAATCCCAAATATTGACGACGCCAACGCCGACGGAATCTAGGATCGCTAAGTCTCGCTTTCGCGACAAGCTCCACAAATATAAAGATTCATTAAAAATTATCCTTTATAAGATAATAACATAAGAATGCAACAATCACCTTAATAATTACATCATATGACATTGAGCAAATTTCTTTCCTGTTGTTAAATTTCTTATACAGTTGAACATGTATAAACCATATCCTGTATAGTCCAGAAGCCTGTATTAACCAAAAACTGCATAGTCCAGAAACCTGTACTAATCAGATCGGGTTAGTCCAGAAACATTTTGTATCAGGACATAGTGAAAATTTCTAATTATTTAAACCTGTGTAAATTAAAACACAGCTTTTTTTAAAGGTTTCATTGTACTCACTTAATTAACATAATATATCTCATTTTCACAACTTATTCTAATCTGCATACAGAATTTTTGAAATAAAACAAAATTAAAATAAAATAAAGGGAATAGACAACAAATATATCTCTCTGTATATACACAGAAACGTTAACTCACATTATCATAAAAACAAATATAACTTTAAATCACACAATAAACAGCATATACCAATGTTATGTAATTTGGTTTGGAAGACAAAAAAGGCGTTGCATAGATATATCGCAAAACAATTTTAAAATTGTAAAATACACAAGCACTAATATTGATTGATTGATTGATTGGTGTTTAACGCCCCTTTCAACACTATTGTGCTATTTCGTGGCGGTCAGTTTTTATTGGTGTAGGAAGCCGGAGTGTCCAGAGAGAACCACCGACCTTCGGTAGGAAAACTGACAATCCTAGTCAATTAAGATTGGAGTCGAGTGCACCTGCCCCATGCGAGATTCGAACTCACAACCTCAGTGTTGACTGGCTAGTGATACAGTAGTTCGACTACTTAGACCACTCGGCCACCGAGGCCCCACCTGCACTAATAAAGTGGAAATCTTTGTGCTAAGAATTAACAATGATATGTTTTTACTGGCATAACATTTATACAAAAAATGGCGCATTTCGTTTGTAAACGCAATACTTGTAAAAAGTAAAATTCGAGCAAATGTAGGTCGCCCACAAAAACCCTCAAAATGTACTAAAGTTCATTAGAATAATTCTCAGGTAAATGTATAATAAAAGAAATTGTTTTAGTAGTTGAACTCCGCTGGCTCTTCCATTTTAAAGTGTCAGAATAAAATCCAAAAGCAGGCATTTCGAAATAATTCTAAGCATTCAATTTTAAAAGTGTATAAAGTTCTGTATCAAATATTGCTGTGGTTAACCAAAAAATGTGTCAGTCTATACCTTGGGCTCAAGTTATATTTAAAAGAAATTGTTCTAACAATTCTGAAAGACCATGATGGCACCTTTAATATATGCAGAGACGTATAATACATTATGTATTCTATGTCTCTGATATATGTGAGGCTGTTGTGACCATACAATGTAATTTGTGAAGTTCGGTTAAACAATGAATTTAAATGTTTAAAATTTAAATAAAACCCATGACATTTTTGCACTTAACAAACCACACCATTCAATCCTATAAAGTTATCAATAAAACTAAAATAATTATGAAAGGACTAAGGAATTTTACCATACTTGAAATTTTAGAGAACAAATGATGGCTTTTAAGCCTAACCTTTACTGTTGTCTTAACTTTTTGAATACTTGAGAATAATGCACTTAACTGAATTTTCAATATGATGTTACAATATACAGTTTTCACAAATTACACCGAATAATTTCATAATAAAAGTCTCTTTGGACTGAAAAAATATAATCCTTAAGAAATATAACTTTAACTTCATTTCAATAGAATGAAGTAAGGGTTTGTTAGATATGGCAAATCCTGATGATAAAAGACTAGATATAGTAAACACGATATATATTTCATTCATTCTTATCGAATAACAATAATATAATGAAATTCGATTTAGAAATATAAAATGGCTACATTATGACATATATGCACCAAAACCTTTCTAAATTCTGTATAAACATCTAATTAAATATCGGTAACAAGATAAATGGTTAATAAATTCGAATTTTAACATACTTATATAATATATATTATCTTCATCATAACACACTGTTGTAATTGAACATCCTATGCAATTTAATACCTTCACTGTGCAAATGTATGTGACAGTGTGTAGGATATAAGAGATATGTAATAACATTAGAACTACTCATGTTTTTCTAGTGAAAAAAAATACCATGGACATAAAAAAATGAAGCATATAGAAAACAAAACATTTATATGATAGCTTATGGAGATCGTCTTGGTAAAGTGTACTGCAGTTTAGTTAATCCCCATAACTTTGAGTACAAATAAAATGTAATACTTGGACTGATGTGTACAGGAAAATCAGTTCCATTTAATAAACAAGAGGCCCCCAAGAGCCTGAATCGCTCACCTGGTGAAAATATGCCATTTTGATAATTTTTTCCTTTACAATCAGTTATGTTTGCTTATTTGTAGATCTTATTTAGTGGCATCTTCGTATTATTGTAGTGATTATGTTTTACAGTTTACAGTTAATTTCTATCATTGAAGTTTTTGAGATAAAGAAAAAAGTCATTTCAAATGGCAATCATTCCTATAACCAGTTCGATGTGACCATGTTGACTTACTTGCAGATGATAATTTGCTAATCTTTTTGGCTCTTTAAAGTTTTCTCTAACTCTTATAGCTTGGATAAAAATGCAAAAAATGGATAAAATTCAGGGGAATAACTTCTATAAGGATTTGGTTAACAGTTTCGGCCATGTTGACTGATTTGTAGATCTTATTGTGCTGAACAATTTTTGTTTTTTTCCTGTTTCTCACTATCTATTATAGTTTGTTCAAAAACTGTAAGAATTGAAAAAAAAATCATCTTTCAATAACAAAAAATGCTAAAAGGAGTCAGTTGACAATTTCGGCCATCTGACTTCTTTGCAGATCTTATTGTACTTAACATCTTTGCTGTTTACAATTTCTCTCTATTATGATTTCTTCAAAACATAAAAAAAAATGTATAAGCAGGGATAAAACATCTTTCAGGGGCAATAACCCATTAAAGCGGTCAATTGAAAATTTCGGTTAAGTTAGCATCTTTTTTTATCTTATATTGTTGAACAATTTCTCTCTATTATAGTTTCTGGAAAAAAAACCCAAAAAAAATGTGTTAAATTAGTCTTTCAAGGGCAATAAGTCCTGTAAAGGATTAATTGACGAATCTTCCATATTTACTTATTTTGCTGAACACTTTCGCTTTTTACAATTTTCTTTTTTATAATTTCTGCTAAAAATGAGTCTTTCAAGGGCAATAACTCATATAAGGGGTCAATTGACAATTCGTCCATGTTGACTTATTTGTAGATCATACTGTTCTGGTCATTCTTACTGTTAACATTTCTAACTGTTATAATTTTCGAGATAACCAAAAACTGCAAAATTTGCCGAAAATTGACATTTCAGGGGCAATAACTCCAAAATGATGTTTGATTTCTCGGAATCGTTCGCAGAAGATAGACTTTGAACTGCTTGTCAATTCTAACCTATGTCGGATGTGCTCTATATGCTTTGATTTTTGAAATAAAAGCCAAAAACTTTGAAATTTACTGAAAATTTACATTTCAGGGGCAATAACCATGATAACTCCAATATGATTGTCCGATTTTTCTGAAAAATTCGCAGGTGATAGACCTGCTGATCATATTTATCATGTCGGATTTACTTTAACTGCTTAAATTTTTTAAATATAACGGAGAAAACTGCGTTTTACCCCATATGTTCAATTTTTAGCAACAGCGGCCATGTTTGTTGTTGGATCAAACCCCGGATACATTTTAAAACTTGAAATCCTAAGGAACTTTTAGGTAAAATTTGGTAACGTTTGACCAAGTAGTTTCAGAGCAGAAGAGTTTTTTTTTAAAGTTTGAGACGACGGACGACAGATGACGGACGACGAACGCAAAGTGATGGCAAAAGCTCACATTGTCTTTTAGGCCATGTGAACTTAACATAAGTTACTCATCAAATACTCTATGCAAATTTCTCTTTATAGTTTTTACTTACTGGTTATCACAAGGAGCTAAAACAATGCATATGCCATATTCATGCTAGGTTATAATTTGTAATTACTTGGCCTGTAACAAAATTGAGAAAATTTAATTAAATTTTCCTAAGGATGTTCATTTGGAAAGTGATAAGTATTCAGTATAATTACAGATACTTGTGAAGATAACATACCTTGTTTTGTCTTTCTTCAACTCGAGTCACTAAGATAATGTTCAAAAATAATAATAACAATATCTTACAACAATATAAATGGATTTCAAAATAATACTGAGCAATACTTTGTAAATACAAATCTAATTAATAGACAATACAAATTAGCAACAAACTAAGAGCCAGTATCCCTCACCTGAGTCTAAGTACATCTTTCTAGAATATAATTCATGACCAAAATATCTATTTTGTTGATCTTCTTTTGTCGATCGTGTTTGCTGTTTACAGTTTCTCCATATCTATAGATTTTGTCCCAAATGCAAAATAAAATTCGCCGCAGGGCGCAGCTTGATACGACCGCAGAGGTCGAACCCTGAACAGTTGGGGCAAGTATGGACACAACATTCAAGCTTGATACAGCTCTGAATTTGGATTGTGATTAAATATTTGACACAGCATAGGTTTCTGACACAGAATGAATGTGGTCTAAGAACTTAAAAATTTTAAATTGGACATTCACTTATTATGGTCCAATATCCAAAATCTAAATGCATGGTTAGATTCAGCATATCAAAGAACCCCGAGAATTCAATTTTTGATGAAATCAAACAAAGTTTAATTTTGGACCCTTTTGACCTCAATGTGGACAAAGTTGATAATGGGGCCCAAAAATAAAAAATCTGAATACATGGTTAGATTCAGCATATCAAAGAACCCCATATATTCAATTTTTGTTGAAATCAAACAAAGTTTAATTTTGGACCCCGATTTGGACCAACTTGAAAACTGGGCCCATAATCAAAAATCTAAATACATGTTTAGATTCAGCATATCAAAGAACCCTAAGAATTCAATTTTTGTTAAAATCAAACTAAGTTTAATTTTGGACCCTTTGGACCTTAATGTAGACCAATTTGAAAACGGAACCAAAAATTAAGAATCTAAATACACGGTTAGATTCGGCATATCAAAGAACCCCAATAATTCAATTTTTGATGAAATCAAACAAAGTTTAATTTTGGACCCTTTGGACCTCAATGTGGACCAATTTAAAAACGGGGCCCAAAATCCAAAAACTTAATACACGGTTAGAATCAGCATATTAAAGAACCCCAAGAATTCAAGAATAAAACCCCATTGAAATTGGTCAAGAAATAAGCAATTTATACGAAGTATCTTCTTTTGCACGATACTGTGCAATTGAATATTTCTTGCTATTGCGCAATACTGTACAATTGACAATTTCTTGCTATTGCGCAATATTGTGCTATTGGATATTTCTTGCTATTGCACAATACTGTGCAATTGAAGATTTCTTGCTATTGCGCAATACTGTGCACTTGAAGATTTCTTGCTATTGTGCAATACTGTGCAATTGAAAATTTCTTGCTATTGCACAATACTTATTATATAATAACCTGTTTGGTGTGTATCTCCTACCATATCATTATTATTTGCTTTTAAATATAAAACAGAAATAACCAACTTAAAATGGAAAATTTTAAAAGAAAAAAAAAAAAGGAAAAAAAGAAAAAAAAAGGAAAAAAAAAAATCCCCCCCCCAAATTTTTTGAACCCCCTTATGATTCATCACCCCAAACTCAATCCCAGCCTTCCCTTTGTGGTATGGTACCTTGCAGTACAATTTCAGAGAGATCCATACACTTGAACACAAGTTATTGTCTGGAAACTAGAAAAATGCTTATTTTTGGCCCCTTTCTGGCCCCTTATTCCTAAATGTTTTGGGCAATTACCCCCAAACTCAATTCCAGCTTTCCCTTTGTGATATGGAACCTTGTAGTACAATTTCAGAAAGATCCATACACTTACACACAAGTAATTGTCATGAAACTAGAAAAATGCTTGTTTTTTGCCCCTTTTTTAGCCCCTAATTCCTAATATTGTGAGGCAATTACCCCCAAAATCAATCCCAGCATTCCCTGTGTGATATGGAACCTTGTGGTATAATTTCAGAGAGATCCATACACTTGAACACAAGTTATTGTCTGGAAACTAGAAAAATGCTTATTTGTGGCCCCTTTTTGGCCCCTTATTCCTAAACGTTTAGGGCAATTACCCCCAAACTCAATTCTAGCTTTCCCTTTTTGATATGGAACCTTGTAGTACAATTTCAGAAAGATCCATACACTTGCACACAAGTTATTGTCATGAAACTAGAAAAATGCTTGTTTTTTGCCCCTTTTTGGCCCCTAATTCCTAATATTTTGAGGCAATTACCCCCATAATCAATCCCAGCATTCCCTGTGTGATATGGAATCTTGTGGTACAATGTCAGAGAGATCCATACACTAACACAATACAATAACAGAAACTGACATCACCCAAATTCAAACTTCATCTCTGTTTTGTGGTAATATCCATCGCGTATAAGTTTCATAACATTTGGTTGATGCAAAGCAAAGTTAGAGTGCGAAAAAGGCAACATAATTCATAAAGGGACATAACTCATTGTCAAAGGAACACCACCCGAATTCGAACTTGATCTGTGTTTGGTGGTAATAAGCATCGTCTATAAATTTCGCAACATTTGGTAGAGGCAAACTAAAGTTAGAGAACGGACACCAATTTCGGAACATACAGACGTACGGATGGACGTACAAACGGACAAGGGTAAACCCTAATGCCTTCTTCGCCTAGCAGTGGGGCATGAATAATAGCCAATAAGGCAAAGTATTGAAGAAAACAAAATCGTTATTTATAGGGCAATTACTTCTATAAGGAATCTACTGATAATTTCTGCCATGTTTAGTTTGTAGATCTTGTTTTGCTGATAATTTTTGCTATTTATAGTTTCTATCTACCTATTATAGTTTTCAAGATAATAGGTAAAAACGCAAAAAATGGAGAAAATAATCGTCATTCAAGTATAATAACTCAATTAAGGAGTTAACTAACGATTTCGGCCATGCCGACTTATTTGTAGATCTTGTCTTGCTGACCATTTAATAAGGGAAATAACGTATTGAGAATTGTTCTGACGGTTATAATGTATATAGACAGTAGGTAGATCTCAATATAAAAAATATGTCTGCCCCTATCATATCTTCTCTAGAGTTTTCAAGATAATAGACAAAACTTGCATTTTACCCCTAATCTCCATTTTTAGCTATGTCGGCCTTGTTGGTTGAAAGGCGGGGGTCGTATGACACATTTTCAAAAAATAGATAACACAATGATTGTGGCCAAGTTTGTTTTAATATGGCCCAATAGTTTCAGAAAAGATTTTTGAAAAATTGAACGAACAACGCCGACGATGGACGCAAACTGCCAAAGTGATGAGCATAGTTTACTCGGTCCTTTGGGCCAGGTAAGCTAATAAAGAGACGTGGTATGGTTGCAAAAGAAAAAAATTCTTAGAGAGTGCAAATGACATGAATTAAAGCAATTATACGAACCATGTGGCCTTCAAAAATGAGCAAAACCCATACCGTTCATCTGAGCTATAAAAAAGTATTTGTCTAGAAAGACATTATTAATTTCCCAGAAAATAATTGACAATAAATTTTTAGTAGTGTTATAACTTTCTGCCATAAGAAGGTTTTTGTAAATAAAACAAGAGGTTCCTAAGATACTGAATCGCTCGCCTTTAGAATCGTTAAAAAAAAACCTCATTAGTTAGAAAAAAAATCGTCTTTAAGCTAGGGAAGGGGTTAGGCAATGGTTTCTGTCAAATTGGCATTCTTATGTATCTTATATATCGATCATTTTTGCTGTTAACAGTTTCTACTTAATTATAATATTTTTCAAGATAACAGCCAAATATTCGAAATTATTAAAAATATTGTCTTTTAAATAAGGGCAATACCTCCTATAAAGTGTCGTCTGATAGTTACGGTCATATGGTTTTTTTTTTGTATATCTTGTATAGCTTATATTTTTGATGTTCACAATTTCAACCTTTCTATTATAGTTTACACGATAATGAGTTAAAACTGGTAAATAAGTCAAAATCATCATTTAAGGTTGAACTACTATAATGAGTCATCTGATCATTTTGGTTCAAACAGAAAGTAAGTAGATATTGACATTCTGAGCATTTTTGCCACCGTCAGATTTTCTCTATTATAGTTTGTTGAAAGACTGGAAAAATAAACACATGCTTCATACTACATACCCCAAAAATCATTCACTCCGGTTGAAATTGGTTTAGTAGTTTCAGAAAAAATCTTTGAATTGGTATACGATGGACAAGAAAATTGGACAAAAATCATTGTTTAAGGCTATAATTCCTTAAGGGGTCATCCTTTTGTTTTGGTTGTATTGACATTTCTGTAGATCTCGTATTTCTGATTATTCTTTGCTTCATACAGTTTCTACCTATCTATTACAGTTTTTGAGATCATAGACAAAAACACTATAAAATTAGTCAAAAATCGTCATTTAAGGATAATAAGTCCTTGGGGAGTTATCTGATAATTTTGGTGGACACAGTAAGTAGGTAAAATTTGAAATTTTGCACAAATATGCCACTGTCAGATTTCCTCTAACTGTTATAGTTAAAAAGATATAAGACAATATAAAAATAAGGAAATGTGGTATGATTGCAAATAAGACAACTATCCACTGAAGTTCAAATGAAGTTATACGCAACTGTACGGCCTTCAACAATGAAGAAATCACATACCATAAAGTCTGCTATAAAAGGCCCCAACATGAAAAATAAGAACAATTCAAGTGAGAAAAGTTATAGCCTAGTTTATAACAAAACAATTTATGAAAAACAAATATGACAGACAAGAACCAACAACAACCATGCATTTTACCCTTATGTTCTATTTTTAGCCATGGCGGCAATGATCGTTGACTCATTGGGAAAAAACACAACCTTTATACTACATACCCTAAGGACGATTCAGCCAATGTTTGGCTGAATTTGGTTATATAGTTTCAGAGAAGATCTTTGAAAAAGATTATGATAGAAACCAGACGACAACGACGGACACTAAGTGATGTCAATAGCTCACATGACCCTATGCCAGGTGAACTAAAAAAGAATACATATTCATATATACATTGTAGTATAGATGTTAAGAAATTTGAAGCTTCTTTGACACGAAGCTATTGTTCACTCTTTCTTATCTATTCTAAAAATATCATTGAAATTCATACCATAAAATAATTATCTATTGTATTAATAAGTGCACAAATGCTTCCATACCTAGTCTCAGTTTAACGACAATGCTTGACATTCAAATGTTTTTAAATATGCATTTCTTGTTCATATACAATATTGTTGCCAATCTACCATTGGTATAATCAGTGAATAATTTATTACTGTGACTTGACTGTTAGTGTTGCTCTCCACCTATTGCAACTTATTCAAAATTCTGACCAAATTCCAATTTGTTTTGTAAAACCAAACTGTTCAACTGGTCAGAAATTTGAACAAACTGCTGTAGAATACCACAATCAAGTGTGAAAGTGCAAGGTGATAAAATAAAGCAAACTTACAATCCTATAAGACTTTAATTCCACTTCAAGGTTATTATGAATAATCAGTCTAACAGTTTGTATAGAAATTTTATTGTTATTGTCATGCTAAAGGTGATGGGTAGTAATTTTGAATTGCTATAAAAATGTCCAAACTAAGCTTTCATACAATTTTTCTTTCGAAAAGTATTCTATATTCATAAGAATCAGACATCATTTGAATTAAAACATCTTATATTCAGTAAAATATATGTGAAATTACAATACGTTGTTAATAAGTTTCCATGGGAGATAACCTAAAACATTATTCTTTTAAATACAGAGGACTTTTCGAAAGATAAATTGATAATCTTCCATGGAAACTTCCTCACAACGTATTGTAATTTCACACATATTTTACTGAATATAAAATGTTTTAATTCAAATGATGTCTGATTCTTATGAATATAGAAGACTTTTCGAAAGAAAAATTGTATGGAAGATTAGTTTGGACATTTTTATAGCAATTCAAAATTACTACCTATCACCGTTAGCATGGATATGACAATAACAATAAAATTTCTATACAAACTGTTAGACTGATAATCCATAATAACATTGAAATGGAATTAAAGTCTTATAGGATTGTAAGTACCGGTATGCTTTATTTTATCACCTTGCACTTTCACGACTTGACTGTGGTCTTCTACAGCAGTTTGTTCAAATTTCTGACCAGTGGAACAGTTTGGTTTTACAAAACAAATTGAATTGCAATTTGGTCTGAATTTTGAATAAGTTGCAATAGGTGGAGAGCAACACTAACAGTCAAGTCACAGTAACAAAATCTTTAAAGACTTGTCGCATCTTAATTTTCTTGCCCTTATTTGTCAGTTTATCTCAAAGAAAAGAAAAGAAAAGGTAAGAAGTCAACACACAACATCCCATTAAATTATAAGCAAATAGCAAATAAATTGCCTTTTAATTACCATTTACCAATTTTCATGTTAATTTAGCAATTTAATATCTGGTGGTGTATTCAAATTGTCAATTTCATTTTTCAAGTATACAATGTAAATTTAGCATTAACAGCGAAGATAAAATGAGTGAAAACATCTATGAAATAACACACAGGCTTTTCATTTCTAAAAGACTATTATTTATAAAAACAAATAAAATGCTCCGCAGGGCGCAGCTTGATACGACCGCAGAGGTCGAACCCTGAACAGTTGGGGCAAGTATGGACACAACATTCAAGCTTGATACAGCTCTGAATTTGGATTGTGATTAAATATTTGACACAGCAGAGGTTTCTGACACAGAATGAATGTGGTCTAAGAACTTAAAAATTTTAAATTGGACATTCACCTATTATGGTCCAATATCCAAAATCTAAATACATGGTTAGATTCAGCATATCAAAGAACCCCAAGAATTCAATTTTTGATGAAATCAAACAAAGTTTAATTTTGGACCCTTTTGACCTCAATGTGGACAAAGTTGATAATGGGGCCCAAAAATAAAAAATCTAAATACATGGTTAGATTCAGCATATCAAAGAACCCCATATATTCAATTTTTGTTGAAATCAAACAAAGTTTAATTTTGGACCCCGATTTGGACCAACTTGAAAACTGGGCCCATAATCAAAAATCTAAATACATGTTTAGATTCAGCATATCAAAGAACCCCAATAATTCAATATTTGATGAAATCAAACAAAGTTTAATTTTGGACCCTTTGGACCTCAATGTGGACCAATTTAAAAACGGGGCCCAAAATCCAAAAAACTTAGTACACGGTTAGAATCAGCATATTAAAGAACCCCAAGAATTCAAGAATAAAACCCCATTGAAATTGGTCAAGAAATAAGCAATTTATACGAAGTATCTTCTTTTGCACAATACTTTGCAATTGAATATTTCTTGCTATTGCGCAATACTGTACAATTGACAATTTCTTGCTATTGCGCAATATTGTGCTATTGGATATTTCTTGCTATTGCACAATACTGTGCAATTGAAGATTTCTTGCTATTGCGCAATACTGTGCAATTGAAGATTTCTAGCTATTGTGCAATACTGTGCAATTGAAAATTTCTTGCTATTGCACAATACTTATTATATAATAATTTACACATCCTGTTTGGTGTGTATCTCCTACCATATCATTATTATTTGCTTTTAAATATAAAACAGAAATAACCAACTTAAAATGGAAAATTTTAAAAGAAAAATAAAGGAAAAAAAGAAAAAATAGGAAACCCCCCCCCCAAAAAAATTTTTTGAACCCCCTTATGATTTATCACCCCCAAACTCAATCCCAGCCTTCCCTTTGTGGTATGGTACCTTGCAGTACAATTTCAGAGAGATCTATACACTTGAACACAAGTTATTGTCTGGAAACTAGAAAAATGCTTATTTTAAGCCCCTTTTTGGCCCCTTATTCCTAAACGTTTTGGGCAATTACCCCCAAACTCAATTCCAGCTTTCCCTTTGTGATATGGAACCTTGTAGTACAATTTCAGAAAGATCCATACACTTACACACAAGTTATTGTCATGAAACTAGAAAAATGCTTGTTTTTTGCCCCTTTTTTTGCCCCTAATTCCTAATATTTTGAGGCAATTACCCCCAAGATCAATCCCAGCATTCCCTGTGTGATATGGAACCTTGTGGTACAATTTCAGAGAGATCCATACACTAACACACAAGTTATGTCTGGAAGTTACAAAAATGCATATTTTTGGCCCCTTTTTGGCCCCTAATTCCTTAACTGTTGGTACCATAACCCCCAAAATCAATCCCAACCTTCCTTTTGTGGTATTGAACCTTATGGTAAAATTTCATAGAGATCCATTCACTTAAACTAAAGTTAGAGTGCGAAAACCAATGTGTCTTCGGACGACGACGACGACGCCAACGTCATACCAATATACGACCGCAAAAATAATTTGCGGTCGTATAAAAACAGAAACGAAAACTATGTACATTAGAAATGCCCTAGTAAAATTCAATACTTTACATGGAGTATGTTATTTAAAGTTGAAAGACTTTATCAACTCAAAGAACAAAACAGACATTATTTCATACATTTCAAAATCGCAAAATCATTGACAAATAAATTAAGCCTTATACCAGTAGACTGTTCACTTTTACCAGTGGTGTGAGACTATGATCACTTATACAAAGACAAAAATCATTATCATGACATTTTTTTTATTTTTCATCAAGAATCTTATTCTGTATTTTCAAATTTTTTTATATATTTTTATTATTGCCAAAATTGTGAAGGGATAGGTTTTGCAAAAATAAAACTTGCATTCTTAATTTTATTAGCATTATTTATATGCAGCATTTTCTGAAATCGCAAATTTTTTTATCTCTCATTTTTGTCAATTATTTAACTTTCAAGATAATATGTGACTCGCCATGACATTTCCAGGCTTATGGCGGTAAACGTCATAATGACAAAAAGTCGATGTAAAGTCACGTAACGTAACTTCGGGCCACCTGTTATTGAAAGTCCAATTATATCATGCGGTAAAATAAAAGTTTCATTTTTTCATGACTTGAGGGAGTTTGAATATTACATTAGGGTATACAAAACAAGTAGATTTTTTATGTAAAATTAATAATTAAGGTTAAAATCCCGTTTAGAATCGCGTTCTAAATTCACACAATTTATCTTTTAGACTTCATCGCGTAAATCACTTTCTCCTAAATCAACAATATATTTTCGATTATACAAAATGGTTTAAATTATATCCCCATTGCGAGATATCATGTAGAAAAATAAAGTACCGAAAAATTATAGCTTTCCCGAATCAGATTGCACCATTAACACCAAGTTTTTGGAGTAAATCTCATAGTTTCACATTGTAAGGGAAATATGAACATATGTATGAACATATACCGGTACATGTAAATCAAGCAAGATATACCTGCCCATTAGGACCCCAATAGTGTCTCGTCCCATGTTTATTCCTAGTTTTTTTTATCTGTGACTGTCTTAGAACTACATAAACAAGATGTATGTGATGTTGAAAGTTTTCTTACATCCCTCTCACCGGCATGCCCTAATATTATTGATCATGCTGTTTGATTTTTCATCTTACTCTGCATTAAGATTTTTGATTTAATCACTTTGTCAGGATACATGTACAAAATGTATTCACAATAAGATAATAGATGAACATTAGAAAGCATATCAAATAATACACAGCTCCTTGATGGTTTATTATATATCTTGGTAATCACTTTCTTAACATTGATATAGTTTTCCTTACGAAAGAAAGAAAAATGTTTGTCATTATTATTTTTGATTACCTTTCTGACGGACATGTAGACCTTGCAAGGAATCCATATACCAAATATAGTTATCCTATTACTCATAATAAGCAAGGAATTCACATGACGAAAAAACTAAACATTTTTTAAGCAGTGGATGAACCATGAAAATGTGGTCAAGGACAATAGACATATGGCAGATGGAAACTTCTTAGCATAAGGTATTTATCTGAATACAATGTATGAAGCATCCAGGTCTTCTACCCTATGAAATATAAAGCTTTATACAAATTGTTTATGCACCGTTGCCGCTGGATGGTAATCCTTTCGTTGCAGGGCGAGACACAGGCAAGACAAAAACTATATTACTTTAATTATTCTTCTATCATTCCATTTTTTACACCATGACTACAGTGTATTATTCTTTTTTAATATCAGCCCAATTTGTCTCATGCAAAATTAAAATATATAAGTTAAAGAACCAGTAAAACATAAAACATTGAACAAACCAAAAACAGACAAATTTTTGGCATTAACTATTTTCTTTTATTGTTAACTTCGAATTCAAACCCTCCAATTTCTACACACCATCTAAACTGTTATGATATAGTATTTGTTAGTGACATGCACATATTTATTTACTTATTTTCCTGTTGTTTACTTTAAAAAACAGAAATAAATTAAAAACTTAACTTAACTATATGGAACTGTTGAAGTGGACTAAACCATATGTCCCTCTTTATCTATCATAGCATGCATAAAAGTTTTTCAAATAAATGAAAACCACAAAACACAGGTCTGTACTAGAATGGTATTGTCAAGGCAATTAAGACTATTTATTGTTTAGGGATGGGAACCATTTTTGAGATATTTAACAATTTATTATCCGAGGGGACATGGGATGACCCCTGTGACAAAACCCTCCAGTGCATTGAAAAAGTCTTGTCAAGCAAGAATATATATGGTTTTGGGGTGAACATTAAAAAATAAATTATTTGACCTTAAAGGTCAAAGTATAAGGTCATTATTCATATCTTTATGCTGCAGCTATATAATAAAGGCTCTAGGTCATAGGATAAAAAAGTTTTGTTCCAGACAAAAATAATGTCACCTGGAGGTCAAAGGTAGGTCACATGAAAGTCGTGATGAACTTCATGCCAAATATGTCAACAGATAAAAAGTTTTGGGGCTGGATAAGATTATATCAAAATGAAAATATCCATTGATCAACAGGCAAGCTAAGATTATCCAGCAAGTTAAAAAACTGTTACTGGTAAATGTTGTATTTATATTTGCATGATAAAATGAAGAGCATTAGCAACGATTAAGTACTTGGACAGGCAATCAGAAATCTCATCAATTTGACAAAAAATAAATTATAACTGGTACTTGCCCAACAGTTATAAGTTTCTTAGTTTATTTGAAGATTTCCAGTTTTTGATAAAAGTGTTATGAACCGATTGTTTCTGTATTTGCCCATAGGTTCCTGATCAGCTGTATAACAGATATTTTTTGTATGATTTCAGTCTCTATTATGGAAAAACATAATTTTCAGGAGTGAAGGTATTACAAAACAGTTCTAAGTGGTCACCAGCATGTTTTTTTTTACCCTAAATCTGATTTGTTTGCCATAAGCCATCAACTTAGTGCAAACAGTTCAGTCTTCCAGTCAAATAAAACAGCTGTTGACATCAAACCCAGTAAATACATGTATAGTATCTTCCTAATCATTGAAGGCAAGACAGAATTCTATCCTCCTTATCAAAATATATGCAATGGTTCAAAGCATATCCTTCAAACGTGTATGTTATTTAAAGTATTTTCACAATTTATGGGTAAAATATCACAGGCGTTCTATAAAGTGCATAGGAATTCCAATTTCAAATAATTCACTTCTGTGTTTTTGTAGTCTATTCATGTCTAATGTTGAACACATATTCTCCCAACACAGCTCTTGAAGAGTGGGCAAAGTTAACCAGATTCTTTGTACACAGTTTGTTCTGACATCATCAATACGTGTTACACCTCCAAATATGTACAAACAACCATCCTGAAACAGATTCAAAATGAATTAAAATAAGGTATGTGTTCATTATTAAAGGATTACAGTCCTGAAATAGTGAACAGTAAATGCAATTAAAACAATTTTGTCAGATGTTTATATAGATAAAGTCAAATCAGATGAAGGAGAATGATGTAATACCCTAGGTATCAATGAAATAACCTTTAGTTAGCAAGCTTTTTTTACCTCTGCTGCTAAGACTCTGTAATCAAGTGCTGTCTACTGGTAATTACCCTACACAGTGGTCATCTGCATATATGTCACCATTTTTTTAAACAGCGGTAACCAAATCAAACCAAACAATTACAGTGATATAACAATTAACTTGTGTCTTGATAATTTGTTCCTTTCTATTTTAAATAAAAGATTATATAAGTTTTTAGAAGAAAAAATGACAATAAGTAAATCCTAAATTGGGTTTTGTAAAAAATCAAATATTTCTGACCACATATTTAATAAAAAAAAACACTGATTGATAATTCTATTAATAATAATAAAATGCTCCACAGGGCGCAGCTTGATACGACCGCAGAGGTCGAACCCTGAACAGTTGGGGAAAGTATGGACACAACATTCAAGCTTGATACAGCTCTGAATTTGGATTGTGATTAAATATTTGACACAGAATAGGTTTCTGACACAGAATAAATGTGGTCTAAGAACTTAAAAATCTTAAATTGGACATTCACCTATTATGGTCCAATATCCAAAATCTAAATACATGGTTAGATTCAGCATATCAATTAAGAATTCAATTTTTGATGAAATCAAACAAAGTTTAATTTTGGACCCTTTTGACCTCAATGTGGACAAAGTTGATAATGGGGCCCAAAAATAAAAAATCTAAATACATGGTTAGATTCAGCATATCAAAGAACCCCATATATTCAATTTTTGTTGAAATCAAACAAAGTTTAATTTTGGACCCCGATTTGGACCAACTTGAAAACTGGGCCCATAATCAAAAATGTTTTAGATTCAGCATATCTAGAACCCTAAGAATTCAATTTTTGTTAAAATCAAACTAAGTTTAATTTTGGACCCTTTGGACCTTAATGTAGACCAATTTGAAAACGGAACCAAAAATTAAGAATCTAAATACACGGTTAGATTCGGAATATCAAAGAACCCCAATAATTAAATTTTTGATGAAATCAAACAAAGTTTAATTTTGGACCCTTTGGACCTCAATGTGGACCAATTTAAAAACGGGGCCCAAAATCCAAAAACTTAATACACGGTTAGATTTAGCATATTAAAGAACCCCAAGAATTCAAGAATAAAACCCCATTGAAATTGGTCAAGAAATAAGCAATTTATACGAAGTATCTTCTTTTGCACAATACTGTGCAATTGAATATTTCTTGCTATTGCGCAATACTGTACAATTGACAATTTCTTGCTATTGCGCAATATTGTGCTATTGGATATTTCTTGCTATTGCGCAATACTGTGCAATTGAAGATTTCTTGCTATTGCGCAATAGTGTGCAATTGAAGATTTCTTGTTATTGTGCAATACTGTGCAATTGAAAATTTCTTGCTATTGCACAATTCTTATTATATAATAATTTACACATCCTGTTTGGTGTGTATCTCCTACCATATCATTATTATTTGCTTTTAAATATAAATCAGAAATAACCAACTTAAAATGGAAAATTTTAAAAGAAAAAAAAAAAAAAATCCCCCCCCAAATTTTTTGAACCCCCTTATGATTCATCACCCCCAAACTCAATCCCAGCCTTCCCTATGTGGTATGGTACCTTGCAGTACAATTTCAGAGAGATCCATACACTTGAACACAAGTTATTGTCTGGAAACTAGAAAAATGTGTTTTTTGGCCCCTTTTTGGCCCCAAAGTCCTAAACGTTTAGGGCAATTACCCCCAAACTCGAACCCAGCTTTCCCTTGTGATATGGAACCCAGTTTTTGGTGGGGTTCGTGTTGCTTAGTCTTTGGTTTTCTATGTTGTGTCATCTGTACTATTATTTGTCTGTTTGTCTTTTTATTTTTGGCCATGGCGTTGTCAGTTTGTTTTTCGATCTATGAGTTTGACTGTCCCTCTGGTATCTTTCGTCCCTCTTTTGTAGTACAATTTCAGAAAGATCCATACACTTACACACAAGTTATTGTCCTGAAACTAGAAAAATGCTTGTTTTTTGCCCCTTTTTGGCCCCTAATTCCTAAAATATTGAGGCAATTACCCCCATCATCAATCCCAGCCTTCCCTTTGTGGTATGGTACCTTGCAGTACAATTTCAGAGAGATCCATACACTTGAACACAAGTTATTGTCTGGAAACTATAAAAATGCTTATTTTTGGCCCCTTTTTGGCCCCCAATTCCTAAACGTTTCGGGCAATTACCCCCAAACTCAATTCCAGCTTTCCCTTTGTGATATGGAACCTTGTAGTACAATTTCAGAAATATCCAAACACTTACACACAAGTTATTGTCATGTAACTAGAAAAAATGCTTGTTTTTTGCCCCTTTTTTGGCCCCTAAATCCTAAAATTTTGAGGCAATTACCCCCAAAATCAATTCCAGCCTTCCCTTTGTGATATGGAATCTTGTGGTACAATGTCAGAGAGATCCATACACTTACACATAAGTTATTGTCTGGAAGTTACAAAAATGCTTATTTTTGGCCCCTTTTTCCTTAACTGTTGGTACCATAACCCCCAAAATCAATCCCAACCTTCCTTTTGTGGTATTGAACCTTATGGTAAAATTTCATAGAGATCCATTCACTTAAACTAAAGTTAGTGTGCGAAAACCAATGTGTCTTCGGACTACGACGACGACGCCAACGTCATACCAATATACGACCGCAAAATGTTTTTGCGGTCGTATAAAAAGGGTGGTAAACCATTGGCTTGCTTTGTAGACCTTTAAAACGCAATTTTTTTTCATTAAAAAAGACAATTACAGTAAAAACAAGAGTGCACACGCTGAAATGTCTCGCCTTCTTTACTAACCATTGATATTATGTTGATAGTCCTAAATATAAAGCTTTACTACAACTATCACATAAACTTAACATGATCCAAGAAAATGAGGTCAAGGTCATATAAACCAAAAGAGAAATACATGTACACCTTACAATCATTCAATACACTAAATATAGTTGACCTATTGCTTATAGTTTCTAAGAAACAGACTTAACCAAGAAAACTAAACATTGACCAATGAACCATGAAAATGAGGTCAAGTTCAGATGAACCATGCCAGGCAGACATGTAGAGCTTACAATCCTTCCATACAACAAATATAGTTGACCTATTGCTTATATAGTTTAAGAAAAACAGACCGAAACATAAAAACTTAACACTGAGCAATGAACCGTGAAAATTAGGTCAAGGTCAAATAAAACCTGCGAGACTGACATGTACATCATAAAATATTTCCATACACCAAATATAGTTGACCTATTGCATATAGTATTAGAAAAAAGGACCAAAACTCCAAAACCTAACTTTGACCACTGAACCATGAAAATGAGGTCAAGGTCAGATGACACCTGCCAGTTGGACATGTACACCTTACAATCATTCCATACACCACATATAATAGACCTATTGCATACAGTATAAGAAAGACAGACCAAAACACAATAAAAACTTAACTATAACCACTGAACCATGAAAATAAGGTCAAACACTCCTGGTCAGATGACACCTGCCAGTTGGACATGTACACCTTACAATCCTTCCATACACCAAATATACTAGACCTATTGCTTATAGTATCTGAGATATGGACTTGACCACCAAAACTTAACCTTGTTCACTAATCCACGAAATGAGGTCGAAGTCAAGTGAAAACTGTCTGACGGGCATGAGGACCTTGCAAGGTACGCACATACCAAATATAGTTATCCTATTACTCATAATAAGAGAGAAATTAACATTACAAAAAATCTTAACTTTTTTTTTCAAGTAGTCACTGAACCATGAAAATGAGGTCAAGGACAATGGACATGTGACAGACGGATACTTCGTAACATAAGGCATCTATATACAAAGTATGAAGCATCCAGGTATTCCAACTTCTAAAATATAAAGCTTTTAAGAAGTTAGTTAACGCCGCCGCCGGGTCGCTATCCATATGTTGAGCTTTCTGCCACAAAAGTCGCAGGCTCGACAATAAACTATGGGTTAAAGTTGAAAATGAATGAACTCCTAGTTTTGGGTCTTTTATAGGCAAAGTTGTTCATAAATGATCTGTCAGAAAAATCGTCAATATGCATGTGCTGACCCTGTTGATCTAAACAAGAACAGAATTGATTGTGTTATGTATGCATTCGACATTGTAATTTTCTCAGAAACACAAGATGGTTTACAAGAGAGAATGGATAGGTTACATTTATATTGCTCAAAATGGTGTTTATATGTAAACTTGCATAAAACAAAATTTAAATTTTTAACAAACCAGGAAAACATATAAATTGCCCGTTTACAGCATGAATGTGTAAAGTGTTATAAGAACTTGGGGATTAATTTGTATCTAGTGGTAAATTTACACAGTCTAAAGATGAGCTATACAAGAAATCATTGAAAGCTTGTTTTAAATTACAATATATAAACAAGAAGATGTGGTATGATTGCCTGTGAGACAACTCTCCACCAGAGACCAAAATGACATAGAAGCCTTCAACAATAAACAAAACCCAATACCGCATAGTAAGCTATAAAAGGCTAAAAAAATGGCAAATGTAAAACAATTCTTAAGAGAAACCTAACAGCCTGATTTATGTACAAAACAAATAAAAGATAAACAAATATGATATACAGCAACAAATGACATCCACTGATTTACAGGCTGACTTTACTTGGGACAGGCACATACAGAATGTGTCAGGGTTTGACATGTTTGCTAGCACCAAACCCTCCCCCTAACCCCTGGGACAGTCCATATGTCATCACTTTGTTGTCGATATCTAGCATCATCCAAGCCCTAGTGTCTCAACTCAAATGCATCTTTATGACCATACAATTAAACCTACTTTAACGTATGGCAGTGAAATATGGGGAATATTTTCAACTACTTCAGTTACATGTAAGAAGAAGAATGGTTACATTTTAGAAAAGATTTATTCAAAAGATATATCTGAAAAATCATTACGAATTTATTAAATTTATGAAATATATTCTTGGGGTTAACAGAAAAGCAAATAATTTTGCTATTATGTCTGAATAAGGGAGATTCCTCATATATTTTTTCAAATTTTATTGGCTATTTTATAATATGCTTTCAGGTTGGAGAACAAAAAGGATGATATATTCTATGACGCATATATTTGTAATAAAGCATTACCCCTTAAAATTATTACCACATAATTTTCAAGTATTAAATTTTTACTGAAAGAACTAGACTTTCCAAACTTAAATATAAATGTTGGCTGATAATATAATATAGTTAAGGATAAATTATGTAAAAGTTTTCTCAATTGTTGGATAGATTTTAGAGAAAAAACTCTAAATCAGATATTAAAAGGTAAACTCTTGAATAGATATTTCATTTAAAATTTCTTTGGTAAAGAAAAATATTTGGAATAGATAGAATTTAAAGATTTTTAAAAAGCATTATGCAAGATCAGAATAAGTGCACACCCCCTTAACATAGAAACGGATATTAGATATGCAAAAAACTATTTAGATAAATCACAAAGGTTATGTAAACAAGAGTGCACATGCTGAAATGTCTCACCTGCTTTACTACCATTGATTTTATGTTGATAGACCAAAATATGAAGTTTTACTACAAGTATCACATTAACTTATCATGATCCAGTTGATGGACCTAAATATGAAGTTTTACTACAAGTATCACATTAACTTATCATGATCCAAGAAAATGAGGTCAAGGTCAGATAAACCTAGCCAGAAATACATGTACACCTTACTATCATTCCATACATTGAATATAGCTGACCTATTGCTTATAGTATACAAGAAACAAACCAAACCATGAAAACTTTATATTGACCAATGAACCAAGAATATGAGGTCAAGGTCAGATGAACCCTGCCAGAAAGACATGTACATTTCACAATCATTCCATGGATCAAATATAGTTGATATGTCAAATATAGTATCGAAGAAACAAACTTAACCACAAAAACTTATCATTGACCAATGAACAATGAAAATGAGGTCAAGGTCAGATGATACCTGCCAGACAGACATATAAACATTACAATCATTCCATACACCGAACATAGTTGACCTAATGCTTATAGCTTAAGAACTAGAGGCTCTCAAGAGCCTGTGTCGCTCACCTGTATTTACTGATGCTTTGGAAATCATGTAAAATAAGGTTAAAATCATAATGAATAGTATTAGATATTAGATGCTATAATGATATCTAAGATAACAACAAAAAACTGCAAAATTTTGTAAAATTACTAACTCAGGGGCAGCAACCCAACAACGGGTTGTCAGATTCGTCTGAAAATTTCAGGGCAGATAAATCTAAATCTGATGAACATTTTTGCCACCTGTCAGATTTGCTCTAAATGCTTTAGTTTCAGAGATATAAACCAAAAACTGCATTTTACCCCTACGTTCTAACTTTAACCAAGTCGGCCATGATGGTTGGAAGGCGGGGTCATAGGACAATTTTTTTAAACTAAATACCCTTATAATGATTATGGCTAAGTATGGTTAAATTTGTCTCAGTAGTTTCAGACAAGAAGATTTTTGTAAAAGATTACAAAAATTTACGAAAAATTGTTAAAAATTTACTATTAAGGGCAATAACTCCTAAAGGGATCGACTGACAATTTTGGTCATGTCAACTTATTTGTAGATCTTACTTTGCTGAACATTATTGCTGTTTACAGTTTATCTCTATCTATAATAATATTCAAGATAATAACCAATAAAATGCTTCGCTGGGCGCAGCTTGATACGACCGCAGAGGTCGAACCCTGAACAGTTGGGGCAAGTATGGACACAACATTCAAGCTTGATACAGCTCTGAATTTGGATTGTGATTAAATATTTGACACAGCATATGTTTCTGACACAGAAGGAATGTGGTCTAAGAACTTCAATTTTTTTAATTTACCTATTATGGTCCAATGTCCAAAATCAAAATACATGGTTAGATTCAGCATATCAAAGAACCCCATATATTCAATTTTTGTTGAAATCAAACAAAGTTTAATTTTGGACCCCAACTTGGACAAACTTGAAAACTGGTCCCATAATCAAAAATCCAAACACATGTTTAGATTCAGCATATCAAAGTACCCCAAGAATTCAATTTTTGTTAAAATCGAACTAAGTTTAATTTTGGACCCTTTGGACCTTAATGTAGACCAATTTAAAAAACGGGACCCAAAATTAAATATCTAAAAACACGGTTAGGTTTGGCATATCAAAGAACCACAATAATTCAATTTTTGATGAAATCAAACAAAGTTTAATTTTGGACCCTTTTGACCTCAATAAGAACCAATTTGATAGCGGGCCCACAAATAAAAAATCTAAATACATGGTAAGATTCAGCATAACAAAGAACCCCATATATTCAATTTTTGTTGAAATCAAACAAAGTTTAATTTTGGACCCCAACTTGGACCAACTTGAAAACTGGGCCCATAATCAAAAATCTAAACACATGTTTAGATTCAGCATATCAAAGTACCCCAAGATTTCAATTTTTGTTAAAATCAAACTAAGTTTAATTTTGGACCCTTTGGACCTTAATGTAGACCAATTTAAAAAACAGGAACCAAAATTAAAAATCTAAAAACAAGGTTAGATTTGGCATATCAAAGAACCCCAATAATTCAATTTTTGATGAAATCAAACAAAGTTTAATTTTGGACCCTTTTGACCTCAATATGAACCAATTTGATAGCGGGCCCACAAATAAAAAATCTAAATACATGGTAAGATTCAGCATATCAAAGAACCCCATATATATTCAATTTTTGTTGAAATCAAACAAAGTTTAATTTTGGACCCCAATTTAGACCAACTTGAAAACTGGGCCATAAATCTAAAATCTAAATACATGTTTAGATCCAGCATATCAAAGAACCCCATATATTCAATTTTTGTTGAAATCAAACAAAGTTTAATTTTGGACCCCAACTTGGACCAACTTGAAAACTGGGCCCATAATCAAAAATCTAAACACATGTTTAGATTCAGCATATCAAAGAACCCCAAAAACTCAATTTTTGTTAAAATCAAACTAAGTTTAATTTTGGACCCTTTGGACCTTAATGTAGACCAATTTAAAAAACGGGACCCAAAATTAAAAATCTAAATACACGGTTAGATTTGGCATATCAAAGAACCCCAATAATTTAATTTTTGATGAAATCAAACAAAGTTTAATTTTGGACCCTTTTGACCGCAATATGAACCAATTTAATAGCGGGGTCCACAAATAAAAAATCTAAATACATGGTTAGATTCAGCATATCAAAGAACCCCATATATTCATTTTTTGTTGAAATCAAACAAAGTTTAATTTTGGACCCCAATTTGGACCAACTTGAAAACTGGGCCAAAAATCAAAAATCTAAATACATGTTTAGATTCAGCATATCAAAGAACCCCATATATTCAATTTTTGTTAAAATCAAACAAAGTTAAATTTTGGACCCTTTGGACCTTAATGTAGACCAATTTGAAAACTGGACCCAAAATTAAAAATCTAAATACACAGTTAGATTCGGCATAACGAATAAATAAATGTGGTCAAAGATTTTACAAATCTAATGTGCCATACTGTGCAATTAAAGATTACTTCTTGAAATTTTTCAATATTTGAAATTTGAAAAAAAATAATATTTAAAGAATAATTCTTTTTAATTTCTGAAATCTGAAATGAGAAAAAATTGACCCCCCACAATTTCTTTTTACCCCCAAAAAATCCTTTCCCTCAAGGTATGGTCATAATCTCAATTCAAATTTCCAATGGAATTTGCAACCATAATTACCCATTTAAATTTACCATAGTGCTAACTTAATCTATTTTATAATAGAATTTAAAATATAGTGTCAAATCTTTCATATGGCTTTGTAAAAAAAAAAGATGCAACCTTTGCAGATATTTTTACTGGTCTTCCTTTATAAATATGCATTTCTTTAAACATAATTTAAAAGCAGTGTAAGGGAAGTAACCAAAACGTTGTATTTGGATTACCTCCCTTACACTGTTTTAAATTATCTTAATTGTTCATTAACCATTACTTTATGCATAATTTAAAAGCAGTGTAAGGGAGATAATTTCAATGATGTATTTGATTTATCTCCCTTACACTGCTTTAAATTATGTTTTGTACTAAAGTATTTGTCCATTAACCAGGACAACCTTGTTTTCCCCCTTTTTTGCCCCTAATTCTTAAACGGTTTGAGCCATAACCCCCCAAAGCAAATCCTAACCATCCCTTTGTGGTATGGAAACTTGTAGTATAATTTCAGAGAGATCCATACACCGTTCCACAGTTATTGTCTTGAAACTAGAAAATGCTTATTTTTGGCCCCTTTTTCCTTAACTGTTGGTACCATAACCCCCAAAATCAATCCCCACCTTCCTTTTGTGGTATTGAACCTTATGGTAAAATTTCACAGAGATCCATTCACTTAAACTAAAGTTAGAGTGCGAAAACTAATGCGTCTTCGGACGACGACGCCGACGACGCCAACGTCATACCAATATACGACCACAAAAATTTTTTTGCGGTCGTATAAAAACTGCAAAATTTCCTTAAAATTACCAATTCAGGGGCAGCAACCCAACAACAGGTTGTCAAATTTGTCTGAAAATTGCATAGCAGATAGATCTTGACCTGATTATCAGTTTTACCTCATGTCAGATTTACTCTAAATGCTTTGGTTTCAGAGATATAAGCCAAAATCTACATTTTACCCCTATGTTCTATTTTTTGCCATGGTGGCCATCTTGGTTGGTTGGCGGGGTCATCGGACACATTTTTTAAAACAGACCAAATCACAAAAACTTAACATTGAGCAATGAACCTTGAAAATGAGGTCAAGGTCAAACAAGAGGCTGTCAGAGTGACAGCAAACCGGATTTTCCTGCAGAGGCCAAACTCTGAACAGTTGAGCAAGTATGGACACAATACCTATTATGGTCCAATATCCAAAATCTAAGTACATTGTTAGAATCAGCATATCAAAGAACCCCAAGAATTCAATTTTTGACGAAATCAAACAAAAGTTTCATTTAGGACCCTTGGGACCTCGATGTGGACCAATATGATTAAGGAGCCCAAAATCTCTAAATACATGGTTAAGATTCAGCATTTCAAAGAACCCCATAAATTCAATTTTTGTTGAAATTAAACAAAGTTTCATTTTGGACCCTGATTTGGATCAACTTGAAAACTGGGCCCAAAAATTCAAAATCTAAATACAGGTTTAGATTCAGCATTTCAAAGAATCCTATATATATTCAATTTATGTTGAAATCAAACACAGTTTAATTTTGGACCCCGATTTGGACCAACTTGAAAACTGGGCCCAAAATCAAAAATATATCTGTCACTCCAATTATAATTTTGTTAGTTGATAATTACCACATGTTTGTTATCTTGATAAAAGGTGGAAATTATTGCATGAATAAATTAATAGTAAATTGTCCTAATCCAAATACATGTACAAATGTGTATATTTAGTTAATTGTAAAAATCTATTATACAAATTGTGTGTAATTTTATAGGAAGAATAAAAATAGATAATTATCTAATGAAAATGATATTTGCAAATCTGGACTCCCAAACAGGATCAAGTAAAAAATATTTGCAAATCTGGACCCCCAAACAGATCAAGTAAAAATTAAACATTAACACACACAACAAAAAGAAAATACTACATAATGGTTTATATGTAAGACTGAATACAAAGTCTATATAAAAATCTATAAAATTTACCTTTACTTATATTCAAAATATCTAATAATGAAGTGTAAATTTCAAAGGATATTTATATACACATAATTTCTTCTCTGAAATTAGATATGATGCTGTATCTATTTTTAACTATGACTCTACTTACGATTTCTATTAATTGTGCAATACATCTCTGAAATTGGATTGTGATTATATATTTGATAAAGCATAGTTTCTGACACAGAATGAATGTGGTCTAAGTACTAAAATAATATAAAATTGGACATTTATCAATTATGGTCCAATATCCAAAATCTAAATGTGTGGTTGGAATCAGCATATCAAAGAACCCCGTGTTTAATTTTGGACCCTTTGGACCTCAATGTGGACCATTTTGATAATGGGATCCAAAATCCAAATACACGGTAAGATTCAGCATATTGAAGAACCCAATATACCGGTATTCGATTTTTGTTGAAATCGCACAAAGGTTAATTTTGGACCCCAATTTGGACCAACTTGAAAACTGTGCCCAAAATCAAAATTCTAGTAATATGCTTAGATTCAGCATTTCAAAGAGCCCCAAGAATTCAATTTTTGTTAAAATCAAACTAAGTTTAATTTTGGATACTTTGGACCTTCATGTTGGTCCACATGAAGGTCCAAAGTATCCAGTTTGAAAACCGGACCCAAAATCAAATATCAAAATACACTGTTAGATTGGGCATATCAAAGAACACGGATTATTCAATTTTTGATGAAATCAAACAAAAAAAGTTTAATTTTGGACCCAAATTTGGACCAACTTTGAACACATGCCCAAAATCTAAAACACTGTTGGATTGGGAATATCAAAGAATACCAAGAATTCAATTTTTGATGAAATCAACCAAAGTTTAATTTTGGACACCATTTTTGACCAACTTAAATACTGTGCTCAAAATCAAAAATCTTAATGCACTCTTAGATTCAGCATATCAATGAACGACAAGAATTCATTTTTTTTCTAAATCAAACAAAAAAAGTTTAATTTTGGACCCTTTGGACCTCAATGTGGACCAATTTGAAGACATGCTCTTAAATCAAAAAACTAAAACACTGTTGAATTGGGCATATCAAAGAACACCAAAAATTCCATTTTTGATGAAATCCAACAAAGATTAAATTTGGACCCCAATTTTGACGAACTTGAATTCTGTGCCCAAAATCAAAAATCTTAATACACGCTTAGATTTAGCATATCAAAGAACCCCAAGAATTCAATTTTTTTCAAAATCAAACAAATTTTGATTTTGGACCCTTTAGACCTTAATGTCAACCAATATAAAGACAGGCCCAAAAATCAAAAATCTAAAATACTGCTGGATTGGGCATATCAAAGAACAACGATAATTCAATTTTTGATGAAATCTCACAAAGTTTAATTTTGGACCCCAATTTGGACCAGCTTGAATAATGTGCCCCAAATCAAAAATCTTAATACACGCTTAGATACAGCATATCAAAGAACCCCAAGAATCATTTTTTTTTTACCTTTATGTGGACCAATTTGAAGACAGGCCCCAAAATTAAAAATCTAAATACACGGTTTGATTCAGCATATCAAAGAACACCAATAATTCAACTTTTGATGAAATCAAACAAAGTTTAATTTTGGACTATTTGGACCTTAATATGGATCAATTCAAAAACAGGGCCCACAATCCAAATTCTGAATACCAGGTTATGTTCAGCAACAATAACCCCAAGAATTCAATAACATTGAAATTGGTCAAGAAATAAGCAATGTATACAAAGAATTACAAAAGTATTTTTTTTGGCCCCTTTTTACTAAACTGTTAGGGTCAAAACCCCTTAAATCAATCCCAAACTTCCTTTTATGGTATAACACCTTGTGGCAAAGTTAAATAGCAATCCATAGACTTATACTCAAGTTATTGTCCAGAAACCAGAAAATCCTAGTTTTTTGGCACTTTTTCTGCCCTTTATTATTAAACAGTTTGAGCCATGATCCAAACATTCCTTTTGAAGCATGGAACCTTGTGCTAAAATTTCATAGAGATTCATACACTTATACTCAAGTTATTGTCTGTGAACCAGAAAATGCTTGTTTTTGGCCCCTAATTACAAAACAGCTACGACAATAACCCCCAAAATCAATCCAAACCCTCCTATTGTGGTATGAAACCTTTTGCTAAAATTTCATAGAGATCCATACAATTATACTCAAGTTATTGTCTACGAACCAGAAAAATGCTGGTTTTTGGCACCTTTATGGCCCCTTATAACAAAACTGCTACGACAATAACCCCCAAATCAATCCAAACCTTCCTATTGTGGTATGGAACATTGTGCTAAAATTTCATAGAGATCCATCCACTTATACTCAAGTTATTGTCTGTGAACCAAAATGTCTTAGAATGACGAGGCAGACATCACCATAACATTATACGAAAGCAAAAAATTTTGCAGTTGTATAACAAAAATATTTCTTATTGTTTGTCTCAAACTTAATTAAAAAGAATCGGTTTGTAGGCGTGAATTATCGCGAAATGCACATACATGGAAATTTGAGTGTCAATGCACTTGTCTGGAGATTTCCGTAGAAAAGCACAACCGTTACATAAACATACCAAATGACTGAAACTTCAGAACATGCATAATTTAAAAGTTTATGATTAAAAGTTTATAATAGCAAAATCATAGACAGAGGGTTATACTTTAAATTCATTCATAAATGTCAAAACACTAACCTTGAAATTAATATCAGGACTTCTCAATTTTCTTTGGATGTAACGTTGGAAATGCTGTCTCATTAAGATTTGTTATATTTTCTTCTGAGTGCAGCAGATCCGCAAAGTCATGATTGTGATATACATTTTAATTCCATTGAGATTTTCGGTAAACATGCAGTTCGTTTTTGTCAAAGCTATAAGCTTATCAAACTAGAGGCTCTCAAGAGCCTGTGTCGCTCACCTGATTCTACTTTGGTTTTGGAAATCATGTAAAAATAGATTAAAATCATAACAGATACCCTAATAATGAGTGAGGCCAAATTTGGTTTAATATTGGTCCTGTAATTTAATAAAAAATCCTGGTGGCCATCTTGAACAGTAAATCAGCAACAAAGTAGCAACACTTAATCAGCACCTCATAAGAAACATTTATGCCATGTTTTGGTTTCATTCCATTCAGTGCACCTCTAGAAGAAGCATTTGTATGTATTTCCCATAGGGTCTTATGTTAAAGGAAGTCCCCCCATTGGCGGCCATCATGGATGAAGGATCAGCTTCAAAGTAACAAAAATTAGTCAGCACCTCATAAGGAACATTCATGCCATGTTTGGTTCAATCCATTCAGTATGTGGTTCTCTAAAAGAAGACATTTGTATGTATTGTCCATAGGGTCCTTTGTTAAACATTGTCCCCATCTGGCAGCCATCATAGATGAAGGATCAGCTTCAAAGTAACAACACTTGGTCAGCACCTCGAAAGGAACATGCATGCCATGTTTGGTTTCATTCCATTCAATGGTTCTCTAAAAGAAAACATTTGTACGTATTTCTCATAGGGTCCTATGTTAAACTAAGTCCTCCGCTGGTGGCCATCTTAGATTATGGATCGGCTTCATAGTAACAACACTTGGTCAGCACCTCATAAGGAACATTCATGCCATGTTTGGTTTCATTCCATTCAGTGGTTCTCTAAAAGAAAACATTTGTATGTATTTCCCATAGGATCCTATGTTAAACTAAGTCCCCCGCTGGCTGCCATCTTGGATGATGGATCGGCTTCAAAGTAACAACACTTGGTCAGCACCTCATAAGGAACATTCTTGCCATGTTTGGTTTCATTCCATTCAGTGGTTCTCTAAAAGAAGACGTTTGTATGTATTTCCCATAGGGTCCCATGTTAAACTAAGTCCCCCGCTGGCGGCCATCTTGGATTATGGATCGGCTTCAAAGTAACAACACTCGGTCAGCACCTCATAAGGAACATTCATGCCATGTTTGGTTTCATTGCATTCAGTGGTTCTCTAAAAGAAAACATTTGTATGTATTTCCCATAGGATCCTATGTTAAACTAAGTCCCCCGCTGGTTGCCATCTTGGATGATGGATCGGCTTCAAAGTAACAACACTTGGTCAGCACCTCATAAGGAACATTCTTGCCATGTTTGGTTTCATTCCATTCAGTGGTTCTCTAAAAGAAGACATTTGTATGTATTTCTCATAGGGTCCTATGTTAAACTAAGTCCCTCACTGGCGGCCATTTTGGATGATGGAACGGCTACAAAGTAACAACACTTGGTCAGCACCTTGTAAGTAACATTCATGCTATGTTTTGTTTCATTCCATTCAGTGGTTCTCTAAAAGAAGTCATTTGTATGCATTTCCCATAGGGTCCTATGTTAAACTAAGTCCCCCGCTGGCGGCCATCTTGGATGATGGATCGGCTACAAAGTAACAACACTTGGTCAGCACCTCCTAATGAACATTCATGCTATGTTTTGTTTCATTCCATTCAGTGGTTCTCTAAAAGAAGTCATTTGTATGCCTTTCCCATAGGGTCCTATGTTAAACTATGTCCCTCGCTGGCGGCCATTTTGGATGATGGAATGGCTACAAAGTAACAACACTTGGTCAGCACCTTGTAAGGAACATTCATGCTATGTTTTGTTTCATTCCATTCAGTGGTTCTCTAAAAGAAGTCATTTGTATGCATTTCCCATAGGGTCCTATGTTAAACTAAGTCCCCTGCTGGCAGCCATCTTGGATGATGGATCAACTACAAAGTAACAACACTTGGTCAGCACCTCCTAATGAACATTCATGCTATGTTTTGTTTCATTCCATTCAGTGGTTCTCTAAAAGAAGACATTTGTATGCATTTCCCATAGGGTCCTATGTTAAACTAAGTCCCCCGCTGGCTGCCATCTTGGATTATGGATCGGCTTCAAAGTAACAACACTCGGTCAGCACCTCATAAGAAACATTCATGCCATGTTTGGTTTCATTCCATTCAGTGGTTCTCTAAAAGAAGTCATTTGTATGCATTTCCCATAGGGTCCTATGTTAAACTAAGTCCCCCGCTGGCGGCCATCTTGGATGATGGATCGGCTACAAAGTAACAACACTTGGTCAGCACCTCATAAGGAACATTCATGCCATGTTTGGTTTCATTCCATTCAGTGGTTCTCTAGAAGAAGTTCAAAATGTAAAAAGTTTACGCCGACGACGGACGACGGACGCCAAGTGATGAGAAAAGCTCACTTGGCCCTTTGGGCCAGGTGAGCTAAAAAGAAGTATGTGATAACTCAAAATTTAAAAATTACCGTCTAAAATTAGTATTCAAAACATATTTGACTCCATTTTTTTGGAGTAGGACACAAATCTAATAGTATCCAACCTGGCTATACTTACAGTTGAGGCCGATGCCTTAGGGAATATTTGCAATCATATTGCAATCGTTCCAAAAATGGATCCATTTTAGGTTAACTTGATTATTGAAGTCACTCAAGTTTTAGATGAGTTGAAACGTTCATCTAAATTTTAAAAGGATCTGGTAAAAAATGAAGGGCTTATAATTCAGTTGACAAGAATTAGTATGGAATAATTTTATACATACCCCTTCCAAGAAAATTTTCTGATTATTAAACTCACCTGAGGTTTTGTTGAGTTGAACCCTTCTGTAAGTTTAGAAAGGATTTGACAAAAACTGAGGTTGCTATCCTGGTGACAACAAAGTGATGACATATGTACTGAGGAAAAGTCATTGCATGGGGTATAAAAATGTACAAATTCGTTGTGTTGGATATAAAATGCACCAGCTTGTCCAGATCTGATTAATTAACACTATATAATTTGGGGTGTCTGCATCTTGGAGCAGACAGGGACTGAAGATGAGGATCACATATATATAACTCCTATTTCATGATTAACTGGCTTTTAAACTTTAAGTCAAAAATCAGTTTTAAAGTAAAAAGAAAATTATGATTCCATAATCTTGTTTAATGGTGCATCTATTGTGGGTCTCATTGGGGTCTAAGCGTGATGCGGGATTGCCGATTTTTTGTTAGCGTGACACGTGAAAGTCAAAATTATTGTGCCGTGAAAATGGGAAATGAAGTCTAGCGGGATACGGGAAATTACAAAAAAATGAGAATTGCTTACGTACATAGTGAAAGCGGGATACGGGAATCTGTCTAAACAGTAAGCGGGATCCGGGATCAGAACCCCCCAATGAGACCCCCTCTATTTGAGTATAACAACCTTTTATTAAAAATATGTCACTCAGATCTAATTATCATGCTTCACTGACTTTGCTTGATATTTTTGTCTTAATTAAGTACTCATATACTAACTGCTCTATTTAACTTAATGATAGTTCTATGGGTGTATAACAGCTTGACCAACCAAAATTGGTCAATCACAGTACTCAAAGCTATATTTCAGGCTTCAGTCATTAGATTAAATTTTACATCTGAATTTTAATCATATGTACTACTATTTTGCATTCAATGCCATGCTTGAAGTTTGCTAGCGCATGCATGCAGAAGTTACATTATCGTCTACGAGGTTGCTGTGAGCATATTGCAATCGAAAATTTAAAAGTTTTGTTTGGTGCAATTTTATGATGAGCATAATGTTAGTCTTGCATGCATGCAGTTTGCTCCAAGAAATTGCTGCAACCATTTGCTAGTATACAGAAATCATATCTTGCAATAAAACAAGAGTGCACAAGCTGAAATGTCTTATTTGCTTTGCTGACCATTGATTTCATTTTGACAGTCCTAAATATAAAGTTTTACTACAAGTATCACATAAACTTAACATGATCTAAGAAAATGAGGTCAAGGTCAGATAAACCAAGCCAGGAATACATGTACACCTTACAATCATTCCACACACAAAATATAGATGACCTATTGCTTATGGTATACAAGAAACATACCAACAATGAAAACTTTATATTGATCAATGAACTATGAAAATGAGTGAGATCAAGGACAGATGAGCCTTGCAGGACAGACATGTACACCGTTCAATGTTTCAACTACAATTATTTACAAAGGAAGATAATTCCACTTTTAATATTAAACTTTAATTACTATTTTTAGAACATATGATATTTTCAATAATTTAGAGTTCTTGACAAGTATGGTTATACACATACACATCACTTTGTATTTACAATATCTTAGTATAAATTTCATTAATATATTGCTTGAAATGTATATGGATAAAAAAAATTGTAGAGAATGTTCACCTAAATACACTATTTTTTTGTTTTCTCAAAAGTAGTGATAATCGGGAAAATATAGTTATCAAGCCAGCAGCATAAAGGTTTTAATTGCATGAATGGATAGAGATATAACTATACATGCTCTCCAACTTTTTTGCTGGCAGCATACAAATAATCTAAATAATTACTGGTGTGATATCCGCTGAGTGGAAATAGACTGGAAGATGTAAACTTGTTGGTAACTTTGTCCATTCATAAGTAATTAAATTCAACTTCCATATATCATCCATTATATCTTCTCCGTCAAGTCCACCACATACATAGGCTTCTATAAAATGTATTCAAGAATTACTTCAACATCAGAAGAAAACATCTAAATTCCCCTCTAGCCTATTTTATTCTTTTTTGTTAACATTTTGTCATTTTTAAATTAAAGATAAATCCTTTTCAACATGGAAACTTTCATTCAAATGCAGTTTAAAAATAGGTCAATGTCTCAATGTGACTAAATTTGCTGAAAAATGACTAAGTTCCAAAGTCTGGAAAAATGAGAAAAAAATCCTCAAGCATGATAGCCAGTTCCACAACTTCAACATGTTTGCAATCTCATGCTTCTTGTGAAGTTTTAGGGATCTGGCTTGAAAACTGTAGGAGGAGTTGATTACACAAAACTTATTATGTACCCTCTTTCATAGATTTTGCTGAGAAAGGACTAAGTTTCAAAGTCTGGAAAATGAGAAAATATTCCTAAAACAATTCTATAATACCAGGTGCACAACTTCAACAAATGTACAATCTTCCTGTCCATGGAGTTTCAGGGATCTGGGTTGAAAACTTGTACCCTCTTTCATAAATGTTGCTAAAATTACTAAGTTTCCAAGTCTGGTTAAATGAGAAAAATTCCCCAATAGCAGTGCCCAACTTCAATATATATTAAATCTTCCTGTGAAGTTTCAGGGATCTGGGTTGAAAACTGTAGGAGGAGTTGATTACACGAATTAGTACCCACTTTCCCTCGCCCCCCCCAACATCACCATTCTATAAGCCAGTTTTGGACTTCGTCCAACCCAGCAAAAATTAAAAACAGTTTAAAAATAATAAATAACAATGCATGAAGGAATGTACTTTGCCTAAAAGTGAAAACAGCAAAATCAGAATATGTGCTTATGTAATTATTATAACAAAAATACCATGAGAACTCATAAAATCAAGATACATTATACCTTTCATATGAATTTACACCTGAAAATAAAAATGTTTACTATAGTAAACTACTATCGAACTGATTTTAAATAAAGCTAATACTTATAATCAATGAACACTGCCCTTTCTTGGATCTTGATATCTATATCTTTAACGGGAAGCTTAATACCAAAATTTATGAAAAAAGAGATGATTTTTCATTTCCTATTGTTAATTATCTATTTTTAGATGGTGACGTTCCCTTGTCACCATCTTATGGTGTTTATATATCTCAACTTGTTCGATTCGCTCGTGTATGTAACAACGTATTTGATTTTAACGAAAGAAATCTCTGTATTACTAAAAAATTATTACACCAGGGTTTTCGACATCACGAACAAGGCAAAACATTTACTAAATTTTATCATCGGTACAAGGATATCATTCGTAAATACAACTCAACATGCAGACATCTTGTAAGTTCAGGTATTTCACATCCAATCTTTTATGTTAATATTCTTTACAAAGCACAAAAATGTCAGCATTCACCTCAAAAGCTAACCAAACCTTTAAACAGACTTATTCGGAAGGGATATAGTTACGATACTGTTGTCAGGTCATTAAGGATTGCATATTTTGGTATTAATATTGATTCACTCAGAGGGTCTTTGCATCGAAAATAAACACATTTATTCTAAAACCACTTGTTGGCATGATACGGGTTATGTTCTTCTCGTATATTTTATGATGGTATGATACTAAACCCCTAACGGGAGGGATTGTACTTGATTTTCATATGATGAAGACATAATCTTTCAATCAGTTTAATTGAGGTCTGGAGCTGGCATGTCAGTAACTGCTAGTAGTCCTTAGTTAATTTATGTATTATTGTCATTTTGCTTTAAGTTTCTTTTGCTACCTATTCTGACATCGGACTCAAGACTTCTTTTAAACTGAGTTTTACTGTGCGTATTGCTATATGTTTCTTTATTCTACATTGGCTAGAGGTATAGGGGGAGGGTTGAGATCTCACAAAACATGTTTAACCCTGCCGCATTTTAGCGTCTGTCCCAAATCAGGAGCCTCTGGCTTTTATTAGTCTTGTATATTTTTAAATTTTAGTTCATTTGTATGTTTTGGAGTTTGGACGCCCATTTTCACTAAACTAGTACACATTTTTATTTAGGGGCCAGCTGAGGACTACCTCCGGGTGTGGGATTTTCTCGCTGCATTGAAGACCCATTGGTGGCCTTCGTCTGTTATCTGCTCTTTGGTCGTTTGTTGTCTCTTTGACATATTACCCATTTCCATTCTCAATTTTACATCCTTGGTTTTTGAAACTTTGAATTTAGCAAGTAAGCAACAATCAACCAATCAATCATTGGTTTTGGACATTTTAAATTTGGGTTTATCTTCAAATCAAATTTGTCTAATACATCATAATTCCATTTTTATTTTCGGCAAACAGACCTAATAGTTATGATTTTGAAAGACATTTCCGTTTTTCTGAAAATACACCTTTTCACTTACAAATTATGTATTTAACTTACCATTTCTAAACAATGAACAGCTGTGACACTTTCTAGTTCTAGGATATCCTAAATGCAATTAAAAATATTTATTTAAATTACCATAAAATTTTGTTATATAAATCATAAGTTGTTTCCTCAGTGTTATAGTCCATGTGCCTTATATAAGGGTGTGCTTTGTGAATGTTTTTTTTTTTAAATTTGAAAGCACGGGTTAAAAAAACAAGAGTGCACACGCTGAAATGTCTTGCCTGCTTTACTGACCATAGATTTTATGTTGAAAGTCTTAAAGATAAAGGTTTTACTAAAAGTATCACATAAACTTAACATTTTCAAAGATCTATGAGCATGAGGTCAAGGTCAGATGAATCCTGTCAGACAGACATATACACCTTACAATTTTTCTAAAACACCAAATATAGTTGACCTATTGCTTATCATGCGTGTAATTGAAAAACAGACCAAAACACAAAAACTTAACATTGACCAATGAACCATGAAAATGGGGTCAAGGTCAGATTATATCTGCAAGACAGACATGTACACCTTACAGTTATTCCATACACCAAATATAGCTGACCTATAACTATTAGTATTTGAAAAAAACAGATCAAAACACTAAAACTTAACATTGACCAATGAACCATGAAAATGAGGTCAAGGTCAGATGAAACCTGCCAGACTGACATGTACCAATTATAATCACTCCATACACCACATACAGTTAGTTGACCTACTGCTTATAGAATTTGAGAAACGGACCTAATCAACTTTAACCTTGATCACTGATCCATGAAATGAGGTCGAGGTCAAGTGAACCCTGTCTGGTGGACATGTAGACATTGCAAGGAACATATATACCAAAATATAGATATCCTATTACTCATAATAAGTGAGAAATTCACATGACAAAAAAAACTATAATTTTTTTTCAAGCAGTTGCTGAACCATGAAAATGAGGTCAAGGAGAAGGACATAGGACAGACGAAAACTTCGGAACATAAGGTATCTGCATACAAGGTATGAAGCGTTCAGACCTTCTACCTTCTGAAACATAAAGCTTTATACAAATAGTTTACGCTGCCGGATAGTAATACCTAAGTCTCGCATACTGCGACTTTCGTTGCAGGTGAGACAAAAATTGGATTTTTGTTGGAGATTGTCAAGAAAGGAAGCCTTCTATGGACACCAATTTGAGACCTGCTGGTGTTAAATATATTATATTTTTGTTATAAATAGATATATTTACACTACCATTTTTCCTCTGTTTTCTATTTATAAGTGCAATTGTTTAGTAATAACCACCAACGTACTTGTTTCTTTACACGTGATCTGAATGTTTGAAAAAGTCAGACAGTATCAAACGATTTAGGTATGTTTGAATATATATTATGTGACTGGGTAGATGAAAGAGGTGCCTTAAAGGATATTTGTACACCATAAACTTTCAATATTCTAAACACACAATATCAGATGTTTGTATTCAAAAATAAATAAATCATTTTCATACTTTAATAATTAATATTCCCAGACAAGATCAACAACAACAGATACATAACATATTTGATTAAAACATAACAAGTTTTAAAAGCATATATTATCTTTAGAGCACAGTCAATGAAAAGCACTAAAAGTTCACAAGTCTGGTGATTGAGCACAAATGTTCATGAATACAGTGTCACTACACTACAGTTCGGAGTCATCAGCATCATTTTACATGAATTACATGGAATAGATACCCTTCTATGGTTGAATATAAAAAATCATAAAGAAGATGTTGTATGATTGCCAATGAGACAACTATCCACACGAGACCAAATGACACAGAATTTAACAACTATATATAGGTCACCGTATGGCATTCATCAATTAGTAAAACCCATACCACATAGTCAGCTATAAAAGGCCCCGAAATGACAAATGTAAAACAATTCACACTAGAAAACAAACGGCCTGATTTATGTACAAAATAATGAACTAAAAACAAATATGATATACAGCAACAAACGACAACCACTGAATTACTGAGGCTCCTGACTTGGGACAGACACATACAGAATGTGGCGGGGTTTAACATGTTAGCAGCCACCAAACCCTCCCCCTTACTGGGACAGTGGTGTAACAATACAACATATGAACAAACTATAATAAAATGCTCCGCAGGGCGCAGCTTGATACGACCGCAGAGGTCGAACCCTGAACAGTTGGGGCAAGTATGGACACAACATTCTAGCTTGATACAGCTTTGCATTTGGATTGTTATTAAATATTTGACACAGCATAGGTTTCTGACACAGAATGAATGTGGTCTAAGAACTTAAAAATTTTAAATTGGACATTCACCTATTATGGTCCAATATCCAAAATCTAAATACATGGTTAGATTCAGCATATCAAAGAACCCCAAGAATTCAATTTTTGATGAAATCAAACAAAGTTTAATTTTGGACCCTTTTGACCTCAATGTGGACAAAGTTGATAACGGGGCCCAAAAATCTAAATACATGGTTAGATTCAGCATATCAAAGAACCCCACATATTCAAATTTTGTTGAAATCAAACAAAGTTTAATTTTGGACCCCGATTTGGACCAACTTGAAAACTGGGCCCATAATCAAAAATCTAAATACATGTTTAGATTCAGCATATCAAAGAACCCTAAGAATTCAATTTTTGTTAAAATCAAACTAAGTTTAATTTTGGACCCTTTGGACCTTAATGTAGACCAATTTGAAAACGGAACCAAAAATTAAGAATCTAAATACACGGTTAGATTCGGCATATCAAAGAACCCAATAATTCAATTTTTGATGAAATCAAACAAAGTTTAATTTTGGACCCTTTGGACCTCAATGTGGACCAATTTAAAAACCAGGCCCAAAATCCAAAAACTAAATACACGGTTAGATTCAGCATATGAAAGAACCTCAAGAATAAAACCCCATTGAAATTGGTCAAGAAATAAGCAATTTATACGAAGTATCTTCTTTTGCACAATACTGTGCAATTAAATATTTCTAGCTAATGCACAAAACTGTACAATTGACAATTTCTTGCTATAATGCGCAATATTGTGCTATTGGATATTTCTTGCTATTGTGCAATACTGTGCAATTGAAGATTTCTTGCTATTGCGCAATACTGTGCAATTGAAGATTTCTTGCTATTGTGCAATACTGTGCAATTGAAAATTTCTTGCTATTGCACAATACTTATCATATAATAATTTACACATCCTGTTTGGTGTGTATCTCCTACCATATCATTATTATTTGCTTTTAAATATAAATCAGAAATAACCAACTTAAAATGGAAAATTTTAAAAGAAAAAAAAGGAAAAAAAAAAAAAAAAAGAAACCCCCTCCCCCCAAATTTTTTGAACCCCCTTATGATTCATCACCCCCAAACTCAATCCCAGCCTTCCCTTTGTGGTATGGTACCTTGCAGTACAATTTCAGAGAGATCCATACACTTGAACACAAGTTATTGTCTGGAAACTAGAAAAATGTGATTTTTGGCCCCTTTTTGGCCTTTTTTTGGCCCCAAATTCCTAAACGTTTAGGGCAATTACCCCCAAACTCAAACCCAGCTTTCTCTTTGTGATATGGAACCTTGTAGTACAATTTCAGAAAGATCCATACACTAACACACAAGTTATTGTCATGAATCTAGAAAAATGCTTGTTTTTTGCCCCTTTTTTGGCCCCTAATTCCTAAAATTTGGAGGCAATTACCCCCAAAATCAATCCCAGCATTCCTTTTGTGATATGGAACCTTGTGGTACAATGTCAGAGAGATCCATACACTAACACACAAGTTATGTCTGGAAGTTACAAAAATGCTTATTTTTGGCCCCTTTTTAGCCCCTAATTCCTTTACTGTTGGTACCATAACCCCCAAAATCAATCCCAACCTTCCTTTTGTGGTATTGAACCTTGTGGTAAAATTTCATAGAGATCCATTCATTAAACTAAAGTTAGAGTGCGAAAACCAATGTGTTTTCGGACGACGACGACAACGACGACGACGACGCCAACGTCATACCAATATACGACCACAAAAGATTTTTTGCGGTCGTTTAAAAATCAGTTGGACTAGCTAGCTATTTTGATATCTGTATGCCTTTTGTCTTTTTGTGTTGTGGCTGCTGTTTCATTGAAGAATATATTATACTCTACATCTTTTTATTCATAATTATTGTGGCATTTATCTATTTATGTACCAAATAAAACTTTGAGAAATAAATTTGGATTATCTTTAGGCCACACCAATTCGATTAATAGTTCTTTGGATTTTCCCGCTCCTGTTTTGGAGAAATTGACTTTTCAATAAACAAAAAAAAATAATCCCGCTTCCGCAAATTTTTGGTATGCATGCCGCTCCAAAATTAGTTTCTCCATTTTTTTTTCACATAAACACTTTTCTGTTGCATATAATGCTCCTAGCTATCATTTTAAACGGACGTGTAATAAATCGATTTGTAAATAAAAGGTCAAAAATCGGTATGCCAAAATACAGTTGTGTCAGCTCATAATTAACCGTGGACAAGTAGTTATTGAACACAGTTATCCGAAATGCTTCTCGTTTTACCTTTAAAGACCTGTTCTAGGATGTAAAAATTTAAAATCTTTTGTTAGATGACCACAAACCAGGGACTTTCTACACTAACTTTGTTAATATAGAAAGTCCCTGTACAAACACATCAATATTTGTTAGAGCCATCGTCACCCCCGATCCTTGTTTCAACAGGCATAGACCTATCTCTATCTTTTGGATGAAATGAATTGTAAATTCCCATGAACTTTTTAAAAAATCACGGAAGTATTTGATGTTGTTGAAACCCATATCCCCTTGTTAGTCTTTTGGCATGCAAGCAGAACTCTTCTTTTGTTGGGGGGAATTTAAAGAGTTCCAACGAGACCAAGGTGATGCTGTATTGTGATTGGCATGCTCATAATAATTAGGAGTGTGTAATTGGTTCAACCACTTCTAGTCAAGCTAAAGAGTTTTAAATGCATTACAGATTTTAGGAGCAAAAGGAAAGAGTATTTTGATCAGTAAGAAAAATGCATTTGAATGGGATGACAGGTATTTTAAGGGAATATTTTAATACATTTCGATCTACATGTATAGCAATATAACTATCTTACTTAGGATGTTGTTTTAGTACAAAGCAAGAAATATTCACCTCACTCATTATTTTGATCCTAAATATGCATAAATAGTTCCAACTGGATGTAAAGCAGCCAATAAATAAAGGCAACAGTAGTTTACCGATATTCAATAGTCATAATTCGATTAAGCAAAAACAAATCCGAGTAACAAACTAAAACTGAGGGAAACACATCAACTATAAGAGGAAAACAACGGAACAACAGAAACATTGAACTACAACAATAAACAATCATAACCATATATTGAAAAATATCAAATATCTTTCAGGGGCATTTTTTTGATACATACACATATTTTAATTTTATTCAACATGTGTCATCTACCTAACTAACATATACTTCCTCTTGTAAAACTGCATCTGCTATGCTTCCTAAATATATATGGATTTCAATGAAAATTCACATAGACAAAGCTTACTTGATGAAAATAACCAAAATTAACTAAACCACAGTGAGACAAGAAAGTCTGATATGGTACAGGCACCAATAAATCAAGTTATATGCATTAGAGCATCTGTTGCTCCTCGTTTTTCTATGAAATAACCCAGTTATAACATGTACATAAATTGTACAACTTCTAAATCACACAATTTAAAAAAAAATTATACCGCTCGCTTCACTTATAGAGCACTCGCCTCAAAAAAACTCATTTTCAAGAAATATATAAAAACAAAAAAATAAATCCCTCACTCGCCCCATACTTTTTGGAGCTGTTGTCCGTAGAACTATTAATCAAATTGGTGTGGCCTTAAAGAGATATTTAAGAAATAAATTCAACTGGTTTTAGGTGTAAAAAGGCATTTTTCTCCATTCTCAATTTGAAAACCTTCCAAACAAGCATCACAGCAAATTTTGTTAAAGGCAAAGGACATTAGAAGTCACAAGTAAAAATAGTGAAATTTAGACATTTCCAGACAAAAATCAATTTTTACAACTATTTGTTGTAAAACAAATAACACATCTGTAAAGTTTACGTTTTTTTTTTAATAAGATAACAGATACATGAAGCAGCCATGAACTTATATCATATTGTAGAGTAAAACAAGGGGATGTTCTTAGTCCCACATTGTTTAATCTCTATCTAAATGTCCTTGTTAAAGACCTAACCTATGCAAATACTCAACCAAAAGTAAATGGGGATACTAAACTAACATCATTATTATATGAAGATAACATAATTTTATTATCAGAAACTAAACTAAATATTGCACCAAATGAGTTCAATAAGTATTGTTCTTTTGGAAACCGGTTGTTAACAAACATTGAAAAATTAAAAAAAAGTAATAATAACTCCAATGGAAAATCAAACTGTAATCATTTAAAAATAGAAAGTAAATTTCCTGGAGACATTTAATCATACTATTACCTTGGAGTAACAATCAATTTTAAGGAAATTTGATTTATTAAATTATAGTTTATACACAATACAATGCATCTGTTATCAACGATTTCAGCAGGCAGTTATCTTAGTCTATTCTTAGGTAATTACATAACATTTATTTTTAGCTTTTTAGGAATAGTGCCCTAGAGGGGGGTTAGAGTATTGTTGATGAAATTGAGAGAACGCATCGATGTATCGGATGCAATTACAATCAGCTATCCCACCCACCATCCCCAACTACACCTGTGCATTAACTGGGTATTGATTCTTCATGTTATGATATACATGTATTTTATATATGTTAAGTATTTGAAGGTTTTATTTATAGTTACAGCCAGGTCCATAATATTGAATTCTGATAGCAAGTTCTTGGTATTTCTGTTAAATTCATATAGGTGTTTAGTTTGTTTTTGTTTTTATTCAAGCTGATAAAGTGTTGTTCATGCGATGCCCTCAAGCGTAGTTATAGAAATAGTAAATTTGAAATCGCTATATTCGTTGTTATATTTTTTATTATATTTCTAGTTTGTTAGTTTAAATATATAAATATTTGTTTTATCTCTTGTGTTAGGGGCTACTCATATGGATTTTTTTTTTTTTTTTTTATTATTATTCAAGGGGAATGGCCTTTTTAATTCCAGGGGAATCATACTCCCCCAATTCAATAATACATCAGATAGGTTAATTCCTGTCGAGGAACAAATAGGTATTTTAAAGTAGTATTTTTACTACGCTGGGATCGCCCAGGAGCAATTAGGTTCATTCCTGGGGATCGCCCCAGGAATTAGGTTCATTCCTGCCGAGGAACAAATAGGTCATTCCTGGGGATCGCCCCAGGAATTAGGTTCATTCCTGCCGAGGAACAAATAGGTTCATTCCTGGGGATCGCCCCAGGAAGTAGGTTCATTCCTGCCGAGGAACAAATAGGTTCATTCCTGGGGATCGCCCCAGGAATTAGGTTCATTCCTGGGGATCGCCCGAAACATTTTTTACTAATCGTTTAAGGAATTTTTATTTTTCTCATATTTTGATTAGTTTTAAAAAATTATAAAGTCAAATTCTTTTAAGTGAATGAGTAGCCCCAAGAAAGCCAATAATGTATTATATTGTTAGTCATCCATTGTAGAATTTAGAAATGTACTGTTATGTTACAATTTATTTTAATATTATGTGTAGATTTAGTATGTTTAATATTTTAATAATAAAACATTATTCTTAAATTGTGTTGTGTATAAACAGGCAATTAAAGTCCCTGTTCGAAATATGTAGTAGGATTCCTACTAGATTATAGTAGGAATCTGCCTAAAATTATCAAGAAATCTGAGATTCCTGCTACTTCTTAGGCATACAAGGAAAATTTAAAGTTTTAAACAGTTGAATTTTTCATTTTCCTACTACAAATCCCTGCTATTTAGACCTTCCAACAAAATATTTATGAAAAAAGCAGAAAGGCTTGGATTAATGTTGAGAAGACAACTTCTGAAGATAGTCCCTGCAAACTTATTAAAAACAAAAGTTCCAATCTTTCCAAAAACTAGATGTGCTGGTTAAAGACACAAATGCAGTTTATCACGAAAGTTAGCTGTAATTCTACCAACAGTGGATCAACTGAAATGAAACTCGAACTGTTCCAAATAATTATAGAACAACTAATCCAAGAATTCAAATATAGAAAAATATTCAACGAGTGACTGAACAACACATTAATTCATGAATTCGGTAGCACATGAGTTAATGATCAAAGTTGAATATTTTTCGATTTTCAATTCTGTGATTAGTTATTCTTTTTATTACATTGACCATGGACTTGAAATAAAGTAGAAAATATAAGGAACTATATTATTTTGTTTTCTAAGCATTCTCAATTTGTTTTGATGCAACTTCATCGACAATGTCTTGACACACCAATTGTTGCATGACATCAGAGGAATCAAATTATCGGTTAAAATTTCACTGTGAAATCACGGTATTTCATTGCAACCAATGTAATAATGTTTATTTTCATTTTTAAGGCTTAACAGTTCATGTGCCAAATAAGGCACTTATTTGTCTCTTTTCTTTACAAGCATATGAAAAGATTTATATACCACTTTCATGTAACAAAACAAAATATTCAAGGTCTGATGAATAATTTTTACCCACCACTTTCCATTGAGAAAATGGATGATGTTTTATCATGTTTATTTGTATTGTATGTTGACCTGTTGTAGTGTTCTTCCTTTGTTGCCAGTGAAGGTTTGCTGACTCAGTTTAGTTATAATTCTAACTTGTTTTCTATCTTTTTACTTAACATACCATGTACTTTATCAGGTTTTGTTTGTGTTTCCTGCCATGTACCAGATTGTACTTCATAAGTTGGGATCTTGAAAAATAAAACATAAATATAAAAGTAAATAAATGTATTTATTATCCTGGTGTATTGTAAATAATTAAATTATTTATATCAAATCATAAAAATATTAAAAAAAACCTTTTTAAGGTATTGCATATACTGGCAAGAACAATGAATGAGTTTATACTTTTATCATGTTTATAGGACAATCATTAGATTATGAATGAGGTCTAATGAATTTTCAATTCAAATTGGAAAAGAGTTGTTGCTGATGAGATAGGGAATTTCCATCTTAAAATCAATTGCCCAGCTTGGATCAGAATGCTGGTATTTAGGCATTCCAAAAGACAATTGTATCAAACTTTTTTACTGATGTGTGTGTCCAGTGTAAATGTTGAGTTTTTTCCTATGTTGCATGCAAAAAAAAGAATTCTTTATGTTAAATGTTGTATCATGAACATATTGTTTTATAAGTTTTGTAAACATATATATTGATGCAGATAAGATGACAAAAACTTTAAAATCATTTTAGTTCTTAAAAGTAGATGTTTTGGACAAAGTATTATGACTCAGACTTTCATAGGTAAAACTGAATATTTTTTTACAACTATGCTACAGGTAACACATTGGAAAATCAAAGAGCTGATAGCTCTGAGGTGGAAGAAGAAACATGAAAGAATAACTTCAATTACAATGAAAGCAGACCACACCAACCCAGCCTGCTATGTGCCATTGTTGCTTTCGACGTATTTTTTTCTTCCAAAATAATACACTTACAACATGGACTCGTGTCTCCACCAAAACAGTCTTTAGATAAATTGCTTCGCTGAGCGCAGCTGGATACGACCGCAGATGTCCAACCCTGAAAAGTTGGGGTCAAAATGGACACAATATTCACGCTTGATACAGGTCTGAATTTGGATTGTAACTAAATTTTGACACATAATAGGTTTCTGACACAGAATAACTGTAGTCAAAGAACTTCAAATTGGTTGTATGATTTGAATTTATATTCAATTTTATGCTTTTGTGCAATACACTATGCTGTTGTGAATTGACCCCCCCCCCCCCCCTAAAAAAAAAATTTACCCCAGTTTTTGGCTTTAGTGCAATACACTATGCTGTTGAATATTAACCCCCAAAAAAAAATATTTGAAGAAATTTTCTGAAATCTGAAATGAGAAAAATTGTCCCCCCTCCAATTTTTTTCACCTCCCCCTATCCCTTATTCCCCCCAAAAAAAATCTTTCCCTCAAGATATGGTCAGTATCTCAATTCAAATTTCTAATGGAGTTTGCAACCATAATTACCCATTTAAATACATCATTAAAGTTTTAAAATATAAAATGACATACATAGTCATGGCTAAAATTAATATTAATTGATAGTAACTGCTAAAAAATAAATTGACAGCTAATCAACTCAAGACAATCATCATTTCTTAATACATAATTTACAAACAGTGTAAGGGAGGTAATCAAACAGTGTTCTTTTAATTGATTGGGATTACCTACCTTACACTGCTTTTAAATTGTCTCAATTGTCCTTTATCCAGAAAAACCCTTGTTTTTCCCCTTTTTTTACCCCTAATTACTAATTGGTTTGAGCCATAACCCCCCAAAGTCAATCCTAACCATCCCTTTGTAGTATGGAAACTTGTGGTATAATTTCAGAGAGATTCATACACTTTAACACAAGTTATTGTCTGGAAACTACAAAAATGCTTATTTGGGCCCCTTTTTGACCCCTGATTCCTAAACAGTTGGGACCATAACCCCCAAAATCAATCCCAACCTTCATTTAATGGTTATAAACCTTGTGTTAAAATTTTATTGATTTCTATTTACTTATACTAAAGTTACAATGTATTATCCATGTTATCTGGAAACCATCTGTCTTCGGACGACGCTGACGATGACAACGTGATACCAATATACGACCAAAAAATTTTGAATTTTTGCGGTCGTATAAAAAGTGCTAAATATATCCAATTAAATTTTAGACATTTGGCAGGTATAAACACATAAATCTCCTCGGAAACTTAAATTTGAGCAACACTAACCCTACAATCAATCATGAACTCTTATCATGCTTATAGTTGTTATCATATTTGAAAGCGGTTCAAAATCCTTCATTAACTGATTTTTTTATGTTTGTTCTTATGTTGTGCTGTTACACAGTTGTCCCTGGTCAGTGGTTGGGTTTTGCACACTTGTTAACATTTAAAATCAAGTCATTTTCTGTATATGCTTGAACCAAGTCAGGAACAAGGAATAATTTAATTAAAAAAATCATTTGCTTGTGTCAAGACAATTGGACTGACATTTTAACAACATATGTCAGACATTTCAATCTTTTATCGTCAAATGATCTAGACTGAGTATGTCCCAGGTCGTACTGTATCTTGAGAGCCAAAAAGACAGACACTGAAACTGATTATTTTAAGAGGGAATTTATTTCAGGTACTGAGCCTAGACTCTTAATCCCTAAAGAGAATTGCTGGTTCGCTAGGACTGATGAAATTCAGCTTCTATAAAATTCATATGCTTAGTACTAGAAAGTATAAAAAGTAAAGTCCACTTTACGCCATGAGAACTATTTGTAACTGGTTGAAAATGTCTAATGAAACTCCAGTAATTTCAAATCGTGTGTGATCGTTTGCGGTATTTTTCATGGAACACTCCGTTTTCCATCATCAAGTTAAAGTTGAGAATGCTTGTTAATGATTCTAGAACACATCACGAGTGTTAAAATAAGTCAGATTCACAAAAAATAATTGGGAAAGTTTTGTTTTGATTTTAAGCGGAAATAGCACGTGTAAATCTAAAATAAATATGGTGCGATTGTGCTGAAAATCCGTACTTAAAAGATATCACTAGAATACGACTTTGAAAGAAAACAAGTCCTTCCTTTAGTAAAATACTGTTAAATCATCACATTAATGTTTGAAGGATCTTGGCTTAAACAAAACATATGCGTCAGGATGAAACACCAAAACAGAACGAATAACCAATTACGTTTTGAGGTTTATACATCGTTATGCAAAAGCTGGTTCCCGGTTGACTTATACACTTTTTCATTCCATTAAATGCAAGCGGTTTCCAGTTTATGGTATGCAATGCTATGAAAAGAAACGAGAAATTTGAAATGAAGCATTTAATTTTGATATCATTAATCAGTTAATATTGGAATTTTGAATCAAAATTACATATTAATATGGATTAGGTAAAGTATTAGTTATAACAAGCATTCTTTGAGTATTGCCTGGCAATACATAGTCCCCTACCGGTTAAAAATTCATTGTACTGGAACAAAATGCTAACTTGATCTATAACTTGTCATGGTGTAAACTATATAACAAAATCAATCAATATCTTCAAGCATGACGAAAAAAAATTTGGAACATTGATTATTTGAGTGAATTTTCTAAGTCCAAGGACCATAACTCTGCACAAATTCATCAGACCGGAACAAAATTCAAAGTTGGTCTGTAACTTGTCATGATGAAACTATATACCAATCATCAAATCAATATCTTCAAGCATGACAAAAAAAAGTGCTGAAAACTGATTATTCTAGAACGGTAAAAGTGACGCCACACAAATTCAAACTTGATCTGTGTTTTGTGGTAATAAGCCTTGTGTATAACTTTCATAACATTTGGTTGAAGCAAACTAAAGAAAGAGAATGGAAACAAAAAAATCAGCAATTTTTCCATTTGTAAAGGGGCATAACTCTAGAACGGTAAAAGTGACACAACCAAAATTCAAACTTGATCTTTGTTTTGTGGTAATTAGCATTGTGTATAAGTTTCATAACATTTGGTTGAGGCAAACTAAAGTAAGAGAACGGAAACGAAAAATTCAGCAATTTTTCCATTTGTAAAGGGGCATAACTCTAGAACGGTAAAAGTGACGCCACCAAAATTCAAACATGATCTGTGTTTTGTGGTAATAAGCATTGTGTATAAGGTTTAATAATATTTGGTAGAGGCAAACTAGAATTAGAGAACGGAAACGAAAAATTCAGCAACTTTTCCATTTGTAAAGGGGCATAACTCTAGAATGTTAAAAGTGACGCCACTTGTTGGAACAAAAATGGACACAATATTCGCGCTTGATACAGGTCTGAATTGACACATAATAGGTTTCTGACACAGAATAACTGTAGTCAAAGAACTAAGAATTGATTATATGATTTGAATTTATATTCAATAATTTGCTTTTGTGCAATACACTATGCTGTTGCAAATTGACCCCCCCCCTCTCAAAAAAAAAATTTACCCCCCCTTTTTTTTTGCTTTTGTGCAATACACTTAGCTGTTGCGAATTGACACCCCCCCAAAAAAAAAAATTAAAAATTTACCCCCCCCCCCCCCCCTTTTTTTTTGCTTTTGTGCAATATACTATGCTGTTCCGAAGACAATACAACATTTCTTTATACATAATTCAAAAGCAGGGTAAGGGAGGTAATCCAAACAACATTGTACTTTTTTTAATTGTCCATTAACCAGGAAACCCTTGTTTTCCCCCCTTTTTTGCCCCTTTTTTGCGGTCGTATAAAAACTGCAAAATTCCTTAAAATTACCAATTCAGGGGCAGCAACCCAACAACGGGTTGTCTAATGCGTCTGAAAATTTCAGGGCAGATAGAAATTGACCTGATGAACATTTTTATCCCAGTCAGATTTGCTCTAAATGCTTAAATAGTTTAAGAGATATAAGCCAAAAACTGCATTTTACCCCCATGTTCTATTTTTAGCCATGGTGGCCACCTTGGTTGATGGGCGGGGTCATCGGATACATTTTTTAAACCAGATACCCTCAGGATGATTTAGGCCAAGTTTGATTTAATCTGGACCAGGTGAGCTAAAAAAGCAAAAAAAATTGTTTAAAGGCACTGCACTGACTCCTATAAGACATCAACTGACAATTTCGGCAATACTGAATTATTTGTAGATCTTGCCTTGTGAATTACTTTTGCTTTTAAAGCTTTTAGCTATCTTTTATAGTTTACAAGATAATTAGCAAAAACATAAAAAGTTGCTGAAATGCATCATTAAAGGACAATTACTCTGATAAAGAGTCAACTGACCATTTTGGTCATGCCAACTTATTTTTAGATCTTGTCTTGCTTATCGTTTTTGCTTCTAAAGTTTGTATCTATCTTTTATAGTTTTCAAGATAACAGGCAAAAATACAAACAAAAGTGCACACGCTGAAATATCTCGCCGGCTTTACTGACCATTAATTTTATGTTGACAGTCCTAAATATAAAGCTTTACCACAAGTATCACATAAACTTTACATTATCCAAGAAAATGAGGTCAAGGTCAGATAAACTAAACCTGAAATACATGTACACCTTACAATCATTCCATACACCAAATATAGTTGACCTATTGCTTATAGTTTCTAAGAAACAAACTTAATCAGGAAAACTTAACATTGACCAATGAACCATGAAAATGAGGTCAAGATCAGATGAACCATGCCAGACAGACATGTACACCTTACAATCAATCTATGCATTATATATAGTTGACCTATTGTTTATAGTATCTAAGAATCAAACTTAACCATTAAAACTTAACATTGAACAGTGAACCATGAAAATGAGGTCAAGGTCAGATGATACCTGCCAAACAGACATATACACATTACAATCATTCCATACACCAATTATAGTTGACCTATTTCTTACAGTTTAAGAAAAACAGACAAAAACACAAAAACTTAACGCTGAGCAATGAATCGTGAAAATGAGGTCAAGGTCAAATAAAATCCGCCAGACTGACATGTACATCATAAAATATTTCCATACACCAAATATAGCTGACCTATTGCATATACTATAGTATTAGAAAAAAAGACCAAAACACAAAAACTTAACTTTAACCACTGAACCATGAAAATGAGGTCAAGGACAGATGACACCTGCCAGCAGGGGTTCAAATTAACATTTGGTACTGGAAGGTCCAGGACCTTTGACACTCCAAACTGAAAGGTCCACAACCTAAATCCCAGGTCCTACTTTTACTTGAAATATTTCATAACTCAGTAAGATACAAAATTAATGTGCTTTTGGTGTTAGGTTAGCTTGTTTCATTATAATATTTGAACTGCATGCAATGTTTTGTTAAGTTTACAAATATATTGCCAGGCAACAATATACATCGTCATGTAGCACTAAACTGTCAGTGTCACTGTGGTATAACATGTATAATAATAAATGTAATTGTCTTGTATATTATGAATTCAAATAATCTTTTTTTTTGGTATTTGGGAGGATGTCACTTATGTTATTATACCATTAACTCAGGGCTTACACTTCTTCAGAATCATAGAAGTGACTTCTCTTCTTGAAACTGATAGGGAGAAGTGGTGAGATTTGAAAGAGAAGTGCTCACTCAAGGCGCTACAATGTTTGGTTTTTACTGTAATATAAAGGGCTATATGTATCTTTTTTTACCTTGTTCAATTCATACCCGAGTATACAATTAAAGTAACAGTTCAAACTCAAAGCTGTTTAAGTTTATCATTTCTAGTTGCACAATTATATTAGTTCCTCTCTTGTCAGAAATTACCAACTAAATATCTAGCACTTATAAAAAATTAAAAGAACTTTTTTTACATCAAAAAGGAAAAGAAAGTTGTTAAATCATTTAAAATTCAATTAAAAAACTACTTTGTTATAATGTTAATGAAATTCAGTGTTTCTCATTTTAAAGATATATAAATTTAACAAAGTTAAGCTGGGACATAATATAATGATATTAGTATAATAGCCACAGAGTTCAGGAACTTTGATTAATAAATTGAAACAATGCATACACATGGAAATATATACATTAATCAAGTAGATCTAACCAAAAGTATGTTAATGCGGGTGGAAAGCGTTATTTTTCCTTTTGGGGCCAATATTCTTCTGTCAGATGTGCCATTCATGCGTCCGTAGTCATTATCCTTAGAATCCAGATTTCGTTCATAGCTGGTCCGTTTCCGATGAATTCAGGAAGTAGTTCGTACAAATATTTCAATGGCGGACGAGAACATTTTCAAAAACTCAAATAAACGGTGGTCGGTAAAAGTGGTAACCCGAACCCGAACCCGAACCGGAATTTGCCGGAAATTTGCCGAACCGGAAATCTTTAAATATGATTTGTTATCATTCTTTAGAGATTTTTGTTACAAAAATTAATGGATATGGTGTAAAATATAAAGTTTTATGTTATGTATGAGTACGCTTTTATTCTTAACTGGCAAAAGACTGAAAAAAAAGTTTTCTATGTTTCCGCCTTGGTAAAAGTGGTAACCCAAACTCGGGAACCTATTTTTCTTTATTTCTCTGTATTATCTGATTTCTTGAGTGAACACTCTGACTTCGTGTGATGAATATCATCTTTCATTTCATAAACACAAAGATTTTTTTCAAACTGTATAAAACACAACCATTTATTTCATTTCTAAGTGAATAAATAGGAAACCGAACCCGAAAGGGAGACAACTCGTTTTGAAATAGTTGCACAGGTAAATGAACGCAATAAAACCGTACCGGATTCCGAATGGACTTTGGTATGAACCCGGGCTCTGGAAAGATTTTAACCACGTCAATGCTTTTAAGATTATTGTCAGGAAAAAACAGTAAAAATAACAAGAAGACAAATAAATAAAAAAAATAATAATAAATAAATAAATAAATAAATAAATAAATTGATTAATAAATGGAATTACTGGAAATAACAATATAATAAAAAAAAATTTTAAAGAATTTCATAGAAAGCCAACATAGTTCCATAACACACCACCGTATCGTTTTTTTTCTCTATTTACAGTCCAATCATTACTGGTAAGTTATTGTGGAACGGAAAATAAAAGTAAATTGTCGTCGTGCAATTGATTCTGAATGATAAATGTCAAATATAATGAAGATGGTATATTGCGGAATATAAATGAACATAACTTATGACATTTTATCAACATAATATCGAAACTGTCCTAAGATAGGTCCTAAGGATTTTCTAGGACAGAGATTTGGATAAAGTTAGGACTGACTGACAGAAAGGGTTAGCATGCACATCGAAGCTATCTTATGATTATATAAGCTGGGATGTCCTAACCGCTGTATTAAGTATTGGCGTATAATGAATGGCCTTATAGTAAATGGTTAATTTAAATGAACGAAAATGAAAATATTGTATCAAACAAAGCCATACATTTGTAATTCTAAATAAGAAAAAACTATTAGTTTTAAATTAAAGGTAATAAATAATTGGTATATAATAATTGTACATTATAAATGTATGAAACAAAAAATAATACAAAAATTATAACTTCGTTTTATATAAGCTTATCGAAAATAGTTATAGCTAAATGTGTAATCATTAAAAACAAGTGAGGTTGAATTCGAAGTGTCACGGTTTCATACTTCAAAGTTAAAAGACAAATTTCGTGCATATTTCATAGAAATACGGAGTACTTCAACTATTGTGCGTTTGTTGATTTTGAAATAAAGCTGTTGACTTTTTACTTAGAAACTCTTTATATTTCAAACTTCTACAAAACCCATGAACCGGATTTTTTTTTTTAGAGTTGTAAAGATATGTATCAGATACGAAATCTTGCATAGTTTATAATAATGAAAAGTCTGCCTTACTTTTGTATTTGATATAGGAGCAATTCAAGGGGGAATCTCTAATCTATCTCGTTTTCTTTATTCTTGATTGACTTGCAAGACTTTCTAGAAACTACAAAATCTAAAGGGCTAGAAACTGTATTAAAGAGATACAGAAAATGAATAATGGTTTATTTTGCTGTTTGCTGATGATACAATGTTTATGTCAGAAACTTGCAGGATTTACAGATAATGCTAAACTTTTTTTTTTAAATTAAACAATGGAAACTGGAAATAAATGTGGAAAAAAACGATATCTTGTTTTCATAGGTTGATTGTCAATGAATTTGAAATTTGATATTAATAATCATAAAAATTGTGGCAGTAAATGAATATAAAGGGCTCAATTTTTGAAGGCCGTACGGTGACCTTTAGTTGTTTAAGGCCTTGCGGGTGCCTATAATTTCTTTCATTCTCTTTATAAGAACTTTATAGTCTTCTCATTGGCAATTA